TGCCGCTGGCGCGGGCAAGGCTTTCTGCAAATCCTGGTGATGCTGAAGACTTGGTTACAACAAATTCTGCAAAAAAACATCATAGTTTGGAAGCACCTGTCTTACGTTTTATTGAAGTTATACCAATTAGTAATTAAGGTATGACCCCATGTACAGGTGGCTATTACGAATCCACCGTTATGATAGGTATGGGTATACTGGGTTAGTATTATTATGAAGTTTAATACTTAATGCCCAAGTTATACCCATTAGTAATTAAGTTATAATCATTAGCAATTAAGTTATACCCATCAGTTATACCCATTGGTTATACCCATATTATTCCCCCATGTTTAGTCATATTAGTTATCCATTGTACCCAGTACCTTCCTATCTGCGGTCCTCGGAGCCCCAGGGCTTGAGCACGGCCCAGCAGCGCACCGATGGAGCCCTTCACAATGTCCTTAGCGCTGGGATCGTTGCATGACCAAGCTGGTGGTTCAGCCACCACACTCACAAATATACATATACATGAAGCTATATATATATATATATGATATGTATGTATATATATATGTGTGTGTATACATATATAAATATAAATATATATATATATGCATATGTGTATGTATACATATATAATTATAAATATATATATATATATATGCAAATGTGTATGTATACATATATAAATAAACATATATATATATATATGCATATGTGTATGTATACATATATAAATATGTATATGTGTATGTATACATATAAATAAATAAATATATATAATATATATATATATGTATACGTTGTATGTATATAAATGTATACCATGGCTAAAAGAAATAGTTCTTGCACTGCCTCATTGCTGAGTTTCACTACATCCTGCTGATCTCGTCCCCTCTGCGCTGCGCCTCATACAAAAACTGGACCAGGCAGAGCATCCCGCGCCTAGATTGCAAAATAGCGATCCAGCCGCCAGCTAAAGTCTCCAGCAGCGCCGCAGAAGCAAGGCCCAGACGAGCCGTCCTGAGGGATAGCTCTATCAAAGGCACCAGCCGCTTGGGGTTTGCCCTGACTCTGCCAGAGATCTGCATAGCACCCCCAAAACTCGCCAACAGCCTCGCCTCTGAAAATCTTCTTTGGATGCGCGAGAAGCCCCTGTTGCAGGTACTCCTCGCAGAGCAAGTTCAGCCGCTTCACGCTTTCCAGCTCACCAGTCTCGACCTTGGGCATGGACTTTTCTGAGAAAACTACATCATCGATTACAATGCCAGCCGACACCGCAGATCTCGGCGCCCTACCATGCACTACCAGCAGCTCAAGAGGTGAAAAAGCTCTAGCCAGGAAACCTAATTGAATATGTGCAAGTTGACCCAGTTCCACAGCTTGATTATCACCCATAGCCAAAGCAGCCAAGCAAGGGTAGATTCGGCTGCAGCCCAAAAACTCATCACTGAAACAAGATAAAGACTGTGCTTCAGCAACCGTTAGTGATGCAGCCAATGCATTGCGTCTTGCTCTGGCATCCGAGACTCTAAAGGCATGGTAGTAATCTTTGAGGTCCGGCCAGAAAAATACATAATGAGTCCAGGTTCAAGTTCCTGAAGAGCCAGGGTATAGCTGGAGGCCAGAGTCTTACACCAAGCATCCAAAGTGACTTCTTTGCTATTGGGAGGCCGTGCATCCAAGATCAGCCTGTCTTGAGTCGCATCTTTAACTAGAGCAAATTCACCGCAGAGATGTGATTCACGGACCTCTTCAGGTCTATAGCTAGAAGTATTCTGCCAGAAGCATCCAACTGTTTCACCAACTCCTTCACGGTGGCCCTGGAAGCATGCACTCGGACTTTTGGCGGTCTATCCACTGCAGGATCGACAGGTTCAGCCAGCGACACAGGATCGCGAAAAACTTCCCTGGCCCTATGCCGTTTTGGAAGCAAGGGAGTAGGATCAAAAGAAGGCGGAGCCGGTGGCAAAGAAAGTCTCTCGGTCTCAATTGCTTTTGCTACCACAGGCTGTGCGCCCACCATTCGCCCAATTACTTCACCTGCAGCTAGGGATGTGCCAGAGGCATTAGAAGCAACACCACTCTTCTGACTGATGTACCCATCCTCAACAATCTCGCGAGCTTGAAGCTCCAAAACTGAAATCAATTCTTCCAAGCTCTCAAACTTTGGCAGCACCCCTTCCCGTCTCAGAAGCGCCGACTACACCTACCCTAAGAACATCTGCAACGTGTTCTTCGACACGCCGCACCATTTTCCACTGTGCCTCACTAAGCCTTGCAAACCTAGACAAAGGAGCAGGACATTTGGAGGATTTTCCCAAGTGCAACCAAGAGAGCGTCAGCATGATGAGGTTCACGGCATGTCGCCGACTAACCAGCTCTCGCGGCAGCGCCCTGCTTCTTCTTAAAATGCCCAGGGTATAGGGAGCAGCCACAGGCCAAAGATCAGCAGCCATACTTTGATATTCACGACGTCCATTGCCAACAAAAGAACGGACAAAACTTCCCAAAAATGTGCTAGTCGACAGCAACCACCGCGTCATGTAGCACTCCACAGCCTCCCATCCGTCTTTGCCAGCAGGATCATAGTCCTCCTGCCGGCTGGCAACCATGGCTAACTTGCGGCCGGCTCTTGCGCCGGCGCATTCTTCTCGCTCTCCTTTGCTTTTCCTTTCCTGCCGCCCTTCGCACCTTTCTTTGGGGCGGGCTCCTGCTTTGTCAGGGGCAGATTGCTGTGCCATGCTGTGAGCTCGCTCCTCTTGGTAGTCTGAGATGTCGAGGAGCTTGGTCATGAACAGCTCGGCCCAGCGTGGATCCACCAGCATGGAATGCGGCAGGTCCCAGGGTTCCGGGGCTCGGTGTAGAGCAAATGAATGAAATGGCGGAGGAGTTTCCAGGCTGACTTCGCCCGCCAGTAGCCACGATCCTCTGTCGACCGCTTGCTGGTCGAGGGCAGCCAGCGCCAAGCCGCAGCGGGCCCGCGCTTCGCTCACCTTGTCGGAGTGCAGTGCGTCTAGGCAGGATTCCGGCAATCATCCAAGCCATTCTGACTGTCGAGGGAAAGTTTTGTACCCTGGACCGATGCTCCAGCCAACCTCGAGCTGTCACTCCTCCGCTAACCACCCCGGACAGCTGACCAGATCTCTCTCAATCTTGTTGCATAGCCTTCTTGATCTCGGCGTAGATCGGCTGGGGCTTGTCGGTCAGCATGCGCTGCAACGAACGCAAAGCCGCTGCCTTTGATCGGGATGCTGTCGCGGTTGTAGAAGACGCTGACCCAGACTCTGCGTAGTCCAGAATGCCCTCCAGGCTCTTGTCTCGAGCTTTGTGCTTCTCCTGATGCATCTGCCTCAGAATTTTTGGCATCTGCATCACAGCGGTAGAAACTGGATCTGCACCGCCAGACACGCTTGCATCGGCTAGGTCTGCAAAGTCGTCCTCTTCCTCTTCGAAGGTAGCATGCGGCCCTCGAGAGCTTGCCGGGAAACTCCGGCCTGTGGGGCTTGTTGCGCTACTCCTGGATCCAGCCCCGGAGGCAAGTCGGGAGCGGCAATGGGCGCAGCTCTTCGCTTTGGCCGGGCTGCATCGCCAGGACTGCTTGTCACGTCCTTGCTTGACTGGCGCAGCAGCTGAGCCATCTGCTGTGCCTTTCATCCCTGGCTCTGACTCGGCAGTGACAAAGCTGAAATGGTCGTTGGCCACTGCAACCAAAGCCTCTGCAAAAGGAAGATCCGGGAAAACCGGGAAAGCCATCTCCGCTGCCATCTCGTAGGAGACCAGCTGCTCTAGCTCCGCATTGAGAAGCCCCAGCCATATCGCCAGCGATGGATCGCCGGCTGCCGCTGTTCTGTCTTCTTCGGCACAAATGGGCACCACCACCCTCACAGCTTTCCGCAGAGTCCCAGGCGGCAGTACCCGCTTGGCTACTTTTTTGTTCCATGCTTCGGCAGGCACAGCCACTAAGACTTCGCCACGGCTATCACAGCCACACTAGTTGAGGCAGCTTCAACTCAACACTCAGCGCTCCCACTGCGTAGTCAAAGTCAACCTCGCCACCTGAGGCAGTCAAATTGCCACGCACGGTAAGGTCCTCAGGCTCTTCCTCACCGTCGTGTTGCTCAAAGGACACATTTACTGCCTAAAGGCGGCAGGGATCTCCAGCTCGGCAGCCGCAAGGACAGCACGAACTTCAGCACGGCTCGGGACTCCCACAAAGATGCTATCACCCGGTTGGCCCAGATGATGTGTCAGAGCTTTGGCTTCACTCCAACTAGCAAAAACCTTTGGGGGATTGTAAATGACCAAATCAAAACCATGTACAACAACATAGAACTTGGAGGCCAATGCAATTTTCTCACGCCCACTCAGTCCTCTAGGTTCACTGCGCAGGCACCTCTTGATCCAAGCACCAATGAGCCTCGAAGCCTGCAGCCGCTCCGATGACAGAGCTGAAGCCGCTTCCGCAACAGCAGCTGCTGAGCCGGTTCCGGGCTCCGGCACCACCAGCTCAAAGCTAGAAACACTGGCTGCAGCTGAGGTTGTTCCTTGACCTTCTAAGATACTAACTCGCCTTTGCAACCCCTCAACAGTGAGAAGCAAAGCTTGAAAATCCGCCCTGGACACGTAGGCGGGCTCACTCATGCAAACCTATAGAGAGTCTCAGACTTGTGCTTTTTGGCCAGGTATGACAAACTAGCCCTAATCCAAGCCCTCCACGCCTGCCGTGCCAAGAAGCAAAGATCCAGCCATGGTCCCAAGAGCAAACCAAGCAAGATTCCAAGGCAGAGGCTGAGGATGTCCACCCTGTCCCAGACAGGAGAAGCCAGTAGGTCACCGAAGCTGCAATCGGGACAGATGGGGCAATCAGGCAGCTGCGCAGCACCCAGATGCGATGGCAGGCCCTCGCTGAGCAGTCGAAACAACCAAGCGGAGAGGGAACCTGACGTGGCACCTACCGCAGCAACTGATCTGTCCATACACCTTGACCCGAAATAGCTAAGAGAAATGCTCTTGCATGAGAGTCATATACATATACATATACATATACATATACATATATATATATACATATACATACATATATGTGTATACATATGTATATATATAAAAATATATATATATTGAGCCAGTTATCAGTTGGGATCTTCATCCCAATTGGAACCATCCACAAGCATCAAATTTCTTGGGTCCTTTTCATTGGTTTGGCGGTCGATTTTGCGATGAATCAGCTTTCTAAATGGATCTGAATGGATCAAATCTATCAAATCTAAATGGTAGTGGTAAAAAAAAACAACCAATCCCAATAATTTGTTGAAACCATGAGACTCCAAGATTTCCCACGTTTCCGGGGTGAAATTCCTATCTATTCTTGGCTCTCCAATGTTTTTCATATGTTTTCCACAATTTTTCACCCATTGGTCGCCCCATTTGTCCACACATCGCGCTCCGGGTTTCCCAGCATAGCCCAGGACCACAGCAGGATCCGTGGCGTGAAAGAGCTGGAGAACAGCTTCGAAGAGTGACACTTCGGAGTTCACTTCCTGACGTCCGGAGTCTCTGCCCTCTGGTACTAACAGGTGCTAACAGCAAATGCTGAAGCCATGGCCCACTTTGACTGGCAAATCCCCATCCTTTCAGGGTCTAAAACTCTCATGGTGCACCCATGGATTTTCACCATTTTCCCATGGCTTTTTCCAAGGTTTTTCCCGCCCACCCCAAGGTTTTTCCCGCCCAGCCCAGCGTTTTTTGTGCCTTCACCATGACGTCAGCGCCCAGGTCTGGAAGTTCCGCAGATGCAGTGCAAATCACTCCCAGGCCGTCCTCAAGGGAAAATTAGTATAATGGATACTGGTGATTGACTAAGATATTGATATTATAACGGATAATGGATAGTTATAATGTATCACTGTCATGTATAATGGATAGTAATACTATAGATAATATTTGTGATATTGATAATGGATAGTTATAATGGTACTATAATGGATAATGGAACTAGATATTGATGATTGACTATAATTGATAGTTATAATCTAATTGATAGTTATAATCTAATTGATAGTTATAATATAATTGATAGTTATAATTTAATTGATAGTTATAATTGATAATCACTATCTTAGTCAATCACCAGTATTCATTATACACTATAGATAGTACTATAGTACTATCTATAGAATAGATATAAAATAGTGATCACTATAGTACTATAATTGATATTGACAATGGATAGTTATATTATAGTGATAATATTATAATGCACTATAGTGATTATATCATAATGTCAATTAACATAGACCCTGGAAGACTAATTTGGTTATAATGTAAATTAACATAGTTGTATTATATATATATATATATCACTGGTGATTGATGATAGTTATATTATAATATAGTTGATTATATTTAATGATAGTTCACTGGTGGTTGACAATGGATAGTTATATTGTACATCACTGGTGATTGATGATAGTTATACTATAATATAGTTGATGATAGTTCATGATAGTGCACTGGTGATTGATACGATCCAGTTATATATTAATAAACTATCCAATAAGATTATTGATGCATAATATAATATAACTATCCATTATAATATACCCTCCCGTAAATTAACATAGACCCTGGCAGATAGGGGTTGGAACACTGGTTTCCACTAAAAATGGCTTATTTTCAGGGTCTGTGTTAATTTGCCAGAGAGTATATCATAACGGATAATTATATTATAATGGGTAAAAATGGGTAATTATTATCAAGGGGAAAAGATAAACTATCGATAACTATCTAGAATGGATACTGGTGATTGATGATAGTTATCGATAGTTCATAGTGGTAAATATATATATAGTGATTTTAATGTATAGTCTAATGGATACTGGTGATTAAAAACATGACTAAAAGTGAGTATAACTAATATTAATTAATACTGGTTAATATATAGTGATTAACAATAGTTCCTGGTGGTAGTGATTAATAATGGTCGAGAGTGGTGAAGAGTGATTCATAATTGTTAATAATGGTCAATAGTGATTTCTGTAAAGAATAATGGTTAATAGTTGCTAATACTAGCATACTAATCCCTTCCCCAGTGCAGCCCCTTCCCCTCAGAAACCATGGTGGATGCAGGGCAGGAAATCACATCTCTGGAACCATACAATTTAGGCATTTAATATGAACCAGGGATGGGATGACAACCATTTAAAAAAAAAAGTTGTTGATATACCCCATTCTTATCATAGAATAATCTTTTCCATTCACAAAATGTATTCACCCAATGCCAGAAACCTACCAAAGTAGGAGGTGCAATCCCGCCCATTTTTCTGTTTCTATCAGGGATGATTTATGGCATGGACGTTTGCCACATGGACTTGGATTCCATGGATTCCGGAGTCAAAATGGATGACGATGACGATGACCACAACTGTATTGATGATTGCATATATGGATTTGTCATGTTTTGACTGAAGAATGGGAAATCAATGGGGAATTCATGGGATAATATCCCAGATCATATCCACTAGTTGACATAACCCCTAACAACGCCGACTCTCAATTCATGGGGAAATTTGGGATTTAAACCACAAGATATTCACATTCATCCAATGGTTTATATAGTAACGGATCTATCTATAGTAGCTTGGGATGCGAAGCGAAATTTGCGGCCTTTTTGAACGTGAAATTCATCGGATCTGTGGTCCGACCAGAAATTGATCATCCACAATCTGCCGGATCAACGAACAGCACAAACTTTGGGAAAATCACCACGAACTTTGACAAAGATCTTTGGATGGTGATTTTCCCATAGCTGGTCAAAGAAACATAGCATTTATCATAGGTGTTTGTAAACTTGCATACAGCGTTTCATCTTTGACAAAGAAAAAGCCACATAACGTTCAACCATTAAAAAAGCTTAAGATTTCTAGAAAGTGTCTTACCCTTTAGTAATTTTTCAAATACCTCTGGAAAATCACCATTTTTTTCATCGCTAGATCACCGTAATTCGGAAGGCGATCAAATTTCGAGCCTTTCCGCGAGTTCCTCGGTGCCATGGGAAGCTTTGATCTGCCTATTACCCTCTGGTAAACATACAAAAAACTATGGAAAGATCCACCATTTTTCATGGGAAAATCCATGAAAATCCACTATTTCTATGGCCATTTTCAATAGCTATGTCACAAATTACCAGAGGGTAAAAATGGTGATTTGCCATAGGTATGGACATCTGACAAAATACGACGAAGGGTGAGAAACACATAAAAACATCTCCATTCGAAATTTAGCTGATAAAACCATCATCTTCATGTTGTGAACTCAATTTGATGGTTGCACAAATCCTCATAAGCCAAGAAGAACCACCATAAAACTATCCCATACCATGAAATTCTGGTGGGTCAATAGGTATTTCTATTGTGAGTTATCATATATATATAATCAAAAATAAATTAGGTAGTATAACCACTATCTGATATCTCATACCCTATCATGGTATTCTTAATGGCTCAGTTGCATGTTAATCCAACAGACTCTTGGCCACTCATTTTCCAGGGCCGCCAGGTCCTCATAGGTCTCGCCCGTTTCAGCCAGCAGGCTACGGACGCGTTCCTGGAGGGTCGCCACAAGAAGTACTGACAGGCTAAGTTGGGAAATCCTCGATCTTTTCAATCATAAATCGAAAAACTTTATCTATGAATCTATGAAGTTAATATATAAGATTTATAATCATTGAACAGATTGAGTTTTTATAATCTATAAAGGTATTATATCTATAATTATATATATATAGTATATAAGATATCGTATATCTATGAAGTTAATATAACTCTGAGGATTTCAACTTTATCAATACAATATTCAAAAATATTATTTGATTATCTTACAAAGTTTATCGTATACATATATATATATAAGATACGATAAACTTTTCCAGCTCATGGATTATCAATACATAAAGAGCAAATACCCTCTGGTAAAATACCCTCTGGTAAACTAACATAGCTATGGAAAATCACCATTTTCAATGGGAAAACTCACTATAAATGGCCATTTTCAATAGCTATGTTAGTTTACCAGAGGGTAAGAGAGGTAACAATCCCTTTAACATCCTTTAGTCAGCAACCAACTGGGGGATTTTATCACTGTAGAAAATGACAGAGCCACCTACCCATCGATGCAGGATCCCCCAATTTCTTTTCGCATTTGCCCTGCTAAAACAAGCTTCGAAACTCGAATGTGTGTAAAAATCCTGATGGTTGCGAAATCCTGCACCACCGGTTTTTCATGGTTTTTCAACCCTTTAAAACATAAAAATGGGATGTTGACCATCTATCAACTGGTGAATTTCGCTGGCCCATCCACAGATTTAAGCCATGGCGACAGGGCACGTCTCGAAGGCAGTACGCCACGGCGCCAATCTCTGTGGCCTGATTCATCTCTCGCCTGAAACGATGGCTTTCTGATTGAAGCAATATATGAATCATAGGGGGTTCCATAGACACTATTAGTGTTGCTGGATGATGGTGGATGAGTAGTTGATGTTCCAACGTTGATGGGTTTTGTTGATCCAATCTAATAGATCTGAGATGGTACGAGTATTTGCCCAATTAGGGGGCGATTGAAGCAGCGAGAAACGTTTTCTTTGGAAGCAAAATGGTGAAATATGGTGAAAGTTAGGATGTTTTGGTGCCTCAAATTCCACTAAAACTCATGATATACCCTCTGGTAATTTAACGTAGATATGGAAAATCACCATTTTTTATGGGAAAACTCACTATAAATGGCCATTTTCAATAGCTATGTTAGTTTACCAGAGGGTATCATGATATATCCCATTGTATCATGCAAAATGGTCTTTTCCACCGGAGTTTTCATAGCCTGTTCACTGCAGGTCCTGCATGGCATTGTGAAAAACTCATGTTCGGATCTTCGCACAGCATCTCAACTTGCTGCTTGGAAAACGATGAAAAGAGATGAAAATAAGTGAAACCAGTACTATATATATAATATACTGTACTAATATGTATACATATATCATATCCATAACTCCATGACATAAAATAACCAATTCTGCACAAGTTCCATAGAATCCCTTGGAACAGCGGAGCGGCTCCATGAGAACGTCTTCCTGGGAGGATATCCTAGGCCTTCCGGCCCAGATGGAAGCCGCAAGACCTCTCAAAAATGCCGAAAAACATCGAGCAAAATCTGCTGTTTCAAAATCATCTGGTGATGTATATTTATTTATGTATGGGTATGGGTATGGGTCAAAATGAGGTACCCAAAAACACACATTTTCAGGTTGAATCTTTCAAAAAATATGGCTGAATTTCCAGAGTCTCACCATCCAATCAAAATTTTGATGTTGTGATTTGCTCTTGTGTGTGCTTGTCCTTTTAGATCGTACCACTTGCGAACCATATGGGGGGCCATGCTGCTGAAATTTCTTCATACCAGTATGAAGATTTACCCCACGATTGGCTGCTAAAAACCTTTTGTTTTGTAGATACTCTGCTAGAAAGTATTTCAGCTGGGTAGTACATACCAGTATTTGCATAATTACTGGTCTCTATATGGCTGAGAAATACCCAATGTTCATGCATGTTCGCCTCAGCATTCAGCAGTTAGTTCCATCAAATCCATCATCTGAACACTTCCCTTTGAACAACTCATGATTTCCGCTTTAATATCTTTAATAATGTGGTTAAAACAATGTCATGTTTACCATCCCCCAGTCATCACCATTTTTATATATAGGTGGTATAAACTGTATAAACTTACCATTCCCAGGAAAATGGGTGGTAAAAATGACATTGTTTTAACTACATCCAAAATCCTCCAAGAATCCATGGTCAAACCCATGGCTCATTCGAACCATTCCATGGCGTAATTAACCACCAAAAAAAAAAACGTGGTTTTGAAACCATTTGAACCACCATTCTGCCGCAATTTTGCATCATTCACTACCCTGAAATGGCGGTGATGGCCACTTTTTAAAATCTATTCTCTCCGAATCCTAACCATCCTAACGGCCACTGGTGGGAAGATCATCCCACAGATCGAGGGATCCTCACAGCTACTAAATGGGATGATCTTCCAATGATGTTGGTTTGTAATGCTGGTAACCACATCTACGGCTAAACGATGCTAAACGTCCCAGAGAAAAATCATGAAATGGGATGATGATCCGAATAGTTTAGCCGGTTATAGACATCATTAAACATGATCAAACCCATTTATTATCCCAGTTATCTATAGTTATTGTCCTCCATACACATCCATAAACCCAAGGTGATCCTCCAAGTAGTCACTAGTAGTTAACTTGTTTAGTCTTCAATTTGTATATAATATATATATATACGTGTATATATCAAAAGACACTAGTCACTATTATGTAATTAAGGTTAATCAACATCATTTCATAGAACCACCATATAGGTATTATCCCAGTTAACTATATTAAGTAGTTGAATCAGCTAAACCATATTAAACCCAGTGAAATATAGTTATTCTCCCAGTTAACTATACTGATTATCCCAGTAAATTATGTTCATTATGTGTGAACTATAGTTATGATCCCAATTGATTTAATAATCTTAATAATATGTGACTCTAGATACAATCATAGATAGTCATAACATTCTATTTCATTCACATCAATTTTCACATTCATTCATAGAATCACCATACTTACCCTCTGGTAAACTAACAAACAACTATGGAACATCACCATTTTTTATGGCTAAAAAAACTATTTTCAAGTGGCCATGGCTTCAAACCACTTAGCCATTGTGAAGTGCATTGATTATACCTGGTTGGTGGTTTATTCAAAATATTAGTCAGTTGGGATGATGAAATTCCCAATATATGGAAAAATCATCCAAATCTTCCAAACCACCAACCAGCTATGGTCAATCAGATACCCATTGATCTGGGTAAATTATATTAATTCACTAACCTGAAATAAGGTCATTTGGGGATAGTGACCCCTACTAACCACCATTCCCAGGGCTCGGGAGAACAGTGAGGTCGTGGTGAAATTTACCCAGATATATGTATCAATGTATATAGTCATCCCCCAAAAAAATAGGAAAGTAATCCCCCACATAAACGGAAAATCATCTATTTCTATGGGTCATGGAAAATCACCATGCTTAATAGGTAAACCATCTATTTCTATGGGCCATGGCTTAACCATGGCTATGTTAAATAGCCAGATGGTATATCCCATTAAATCCCATTAAATCCCATTAAACCACCATTTTCCTATGGTTTTCCTATGGTTTTCCCATTGTTTACCCATGGAACATGAGGGGATCCCCCCACACCCCATCCTCCGCCTCCACTGCCAGCAGTGTCCCGAAGAGCACCGGCACTGCCGAGGCCGCCGCGGCCGACGCCGTAACGGCTGACGGCAGAGGCTTCACGGCGGCTGGGGTCGGTGGCGTCACCTGGAGAACGCCATGGGGGGCGGTTGAAAAACATGGCTAGGGTAATAACACCCATAATATTTGGAATATCAACCTGGTAGGTATAGTAACTATATAATGTGTATATATTTAATATATTATATTATATATAATATAATATAATATAATATAATATAATACAATACAATATAATATAATACAATACAATATAATACAATACAATAAAATAAAATATAATAAAATAATATATATATATATATATAATAAAATAATGTGTATATATATATATAATATATATATAATAATAATAATAACAATAATAATAATAATATATATATATATACATATCTTATATAACATGGGCATAAGTGTGGTAATAACCAGAAACAACCACCATAACTTGGTATAATCCCATGAAAAACATGGAGAAAAAAAGTAGTAACTATGGTAATAACTATGGTAATGACTATGGTAATAAGATGTAATAAGTATGGTAGTCCCTAAACTTTATGAAGCATGGTAATTTGCCCACAGAAAGGGGATCAATTGTCGATGATGTTCCACATCGTTAGTTTGCCTCAGGGTATACCAGCTGGTACACTAACATAGCTATGGAAAATCACTACTTATAATAGGTAAATCAACACACTAAAGGGCCATTGTTCAATATCGTTCATTTACCTATCATAAAATTTGTGATAGTTTACTTAGTTTACCCCTACTATAATACTGGTTGGTGGTTGACCTACCCCTCTGAAAAATATGAGTTCGTCAGTTGGGATGATGACATTCCCAATATATGGAAAAATAAACAATGTTCCAAACCACCAACCAGAATAGGTAAATCCAGTTAACTTCCTGGAGCTCTATCCCATTCACATCCCCCTCGACCTGCGAGAGCGAGACCCGTCGCGTCTTGGCCGCCTGTCCTCCGCGGACGCCGGAAAAACCCGACCGTGATCTAGCGTGGATCGATATTACATAATATAGATATAGCCATGGATGATGGCCATGAAAATAATATGACATAATATTACATAATACATGAATAGCTAAATCATCTACTCTCACGGGTCATTTTCCATGGCAAACTGTGACAAATTATCAGAGACACTAGGAGAATATGAGACTTGGAATCAACAAAACATGGTGAAACTCAATTATTAACTTTCAGAGACATGGAAAAATATGATCAAAGATTGAATGTTGCTGAGGGGTTGTGCTCAAAAAAATGTGCTCCAGTCCAGTCCTGTTCCTGATGTTCAGTGAATCTGTCTCCCTTTGGTAAACCTGAATTGAGTCATTTGAGTAGCAATCCGGGCCACATGATTGGGTGCTAATCCAACATCATCCAACCATGTTGGGTGCCTGGGTCGTTAAACCACCCAAAAAGGCATCAACAGCCATTTTTCAATGATACCCCAAACAGTTTTTGTTGGGTGTCTGTGCCTGGTCATAAGGGTGGTTTCCTGAAATACGGGTACCCCCAGTTCTCATCCATTTTAATGTTTTTTTTCCATCATAAACCAACCATTTTGGATACCCCATTTGGGTGTGTCTGAAAATAGTGTACCCCTAAACCCAATGGTTAATGATCATTATCCCTATTAAATGGCTGTAATTGGGAATATATATACCCTATTTTCAGACAAACCCATTTATGGAACCCTCCAGACGACACACGCCTTCAGGAGCATCCACTTTGCGGCGAAGTGTGGTGAGCCTGCCTGACTCGGAACATAATGTGATGTGTCTGGGCCTAAAGTGTAAATGAACATCCATTAAGTCATAGAACCACCATATGGATATTATCCCAGTTAACTATATTAAGTAGTTAAATCAGCTAAACCATATTAAACCCAGTGAAATATAGTTATTCTCCCAGTTAACTATACTGATTATCCCAGTAAACTATGTTCATTATGTGTGAACTATAGTTATGATCCCAATTGATTTAATAATCTTAATAATAAGTGACTCTAGATACAATCATAGATAGTCATAACATTCTATTTCATTCACATCAATTTTCACATTCATTCATAGAATCACCATACTTACCCTCTGGTAAACTAACAAACAACTATGGAACATCACCATTTTTTATGGCTAAATCAACTATTTTCAAATGGCCATGGCTTCAATAGCTATTTTGACATAACCAGAGGGTAAGTTTGATCTGGACGACATAGACCCTGCCAGATATTATGATGGCACCGCCAATCGACAGGTTGCTCTGAAAATATGGTACCAAAAACCAAAAAAATGCAGCGGCGTATCGTATCATGATCGTTGTCCCTATTCAAACATTATTGTGGTATGATTTGGTAGTACCATTTGGTAGTCGACCCAAAACATAAACCTATGATCATCATTATACTATCTACTGTATATTTGGTAGTACCATCCATCAACTGTCAATAGTGCAGTCAACCCAAAACAATAAACCCTGAACCTCCACTTCCAAGCAGAATGGTGATGATTCCATACACACCAAATCATAATGTTGTTGGTTCGCAAATTATCCCATAAAATATCATTAAGGATATCCGATGTATCCTCTTATATAAATATCAAAATCCAACAAAATGATCCATAAATATATCATCTTAATTATCCCATAAAATATATCCATTGAAATATGCTTAAAAATAAAAACAATGGAAAGATAAGCACTGTTAAAATATGTTCAAAGTGATTTTGCCCATGATAAGAACCCAGCATGCTGACGTCATCTCCATCACCCTGCGCGCGTTTTTCAAAACACGCCGCCTGCGTTGTCAAAGCGGGTGATGACATCCCCTGAAAAATGCGACAGGTGCCACGGCGCGCTTTGAAAACCACCGAGAAATGGGAATTCACAAACAGGATTATACTAGGATTATGTGTATATATATATATACTGTATATACACGTGTATATATATATATAGTATGTGAAATCTCACTTTAAAGAGTCTGGTTGAATCAACATCATTCAGGAACCTGAAACATTCCGTGAGTTGCTGATTCCATCCCTGGTGACATCGCCCGTTCATCTCAATCAGCTTAATCGGCTCCAAAAAACAGAACTAGGGTTCTAGGCTGATCCTGGGTAACATTAATGTAAGCATTGGTAACTATTAATAGTAACATTAATAGTAACTAGTAATAGTAACCATATCAGGTTACCCAAATGTTACTATGCATAATCCACTATCCCCAAATCACAGCTGCAACAAGCCACAAGATGTGTGCATGGCTCACCACAGGCAACACAACGGATGAAACATCGCGAAGGGATACGCTCTGAAGACCCCCAGTAGCCATCTGGTTGTGGGCGTCAACATTGTCAAAAAGTGTAGTGTTCGAAGGTTTCCCGAAAATTTTTGCCATCATTTTGTTCAATCCTAAGTCAGGAATGCCAACTACGAAACCAAGAAAAGGACCATTTCCCGCAGCACCCAAGGACGAGCCTTCATCCACAGGGTTTTCTGTCGGGACGGACTGTAGTGAGACCTGGAGGACAGGGGAAGTGCTGAAGTGTTGAAGAACTGTGGTGAAAAAAGATGTCACCCACCAATTCAGGAACTCAATAGTTTTAGGTTTCCTAAAATGGAGGTACCCTCAAATCATTCGTTTTAGTAGGATGTTCACAGATTTTCCATTATTGTGGTAGCCCCATTTCAGGAAACCATCATGTACCATTTTATTTATTTATATATGATGGAATATCATATAAAATCCCAATCTATATACTGGATGAGAACTGGGGGTACCCAGTTCTAACTATGGAAACCACCATATATAACGATGAACCTAGGGACTTTCGAACAGAAATATGGTGCCAATCAATTTTTGCCATGGGTCAAACATCCTGGACCTCGAAAGGAGGTGGTGCTTGCCAATATTCCCAGACGCCAGCCTGGTGGATCATCCATTTCTGTGGTGTTTACGGTGAAGGCTTGTTGGGAGTTCTTTAATATGCTTTAATACGCTTCAATATGTTTTAATTTATTCAATTTTATTCATGTGTCTTTCTTTATCCACCAGGCAAATCATTCTTGATGATCTTGATTACAGTATAATTATACTATACTTACATAATCTTACATATACTTACTGTAGATATTAGATCCAATTCATTGGGGTTTTTCGTTCGGATGACGTGGTGGACCTGCCTGGAGGTTTTGGGATGAAGCGATGTGGAAAACCATTGGGCTTTTTCCAAAGAAACATGGTGGAAAATGGTGGAAAAAACCATGGAATTCCCGTTCGGAAAATAGAATCTACTTAAGTGGATACATAATGGTACGAGTAGGTTTTCAACATCTACGTCAGTCTACGGGAAGGTACCTACGGTACCACAGTCGAAGTTTACTGATTTCTTGGCATGTGAGCTTACCCCTTGAACAAATCGCTGATTCCTGATTTCAGCCCTATAAATCAACAACACCTACATAGCATCAAAATATTCACTGCAACAAAAGACAAAGCCAGCACTTCAGACGCACAGTTGTGGCTGGGCGATTATCGACAAAACACCCGTAAAACACCCATTTCTGGGAGAATCCCATGATGTGAAGGGAAAATTCGGAAACTGTCCTCATAATCCCCAAGATCTTTGCCTGGTAAGTCATATCCTGGACCTTCTTGACCATGATTATCATGATTTACCAGGCAAATATCATGATTTACTATGATTTACCACGATGTGTTCACCGGATACATCCACATCCTGCTTCCCCGGTTCCCACCCGCTCCAAGACCGGCTCGGAACGCAGCAAGAGACGGTCTTCGGGCCTGGGATTAACCAAGCCACCGACTCGTATTGAATAATCAAACAACTGGGATATTGTGGCAAGATGGTGTTGTTGGTTTACCACCCAAGCTGGAACCCAATGTTGCTGGACACGTTGAAGCCCGCGATCTTCAGCTTCTACTATCTTTTTGGTATAAGACGCAAGTCGGGATTGCTTCGGTTCTAGTCGTGTCTTTGGAATACTAATTTAACGACTGAATGAAGATTTCTCCAAACATGAATCCAGGAAGATGAAACCTCAATAAACATGAAATCAAACAGACCAATGAAGTGAAGTGGAAACTGCAGGAACTTCCAAAACTTTTAAGGAGGTTGAACACACCTCTTATCTTTCCAGATGTTCAATCAACCCAACCAGCAAGATTGGATTTCTACCCCCCAGTGTTTTCACCATGAGTTTCTCAGGATCCAACTCAGAATAGAAGCCCCTGGCCGCACCATCTTCACGCACAGCCGGTGCAGGACCCGCAGGACCTGTAATGGGAGCAGTACAAGCAGAAATTTTCGAGGTGAAACCGCATCCTATGGTTGAAAAATGTTGAAAATGTGTCCAGAAACCAGTGTTGATTTGATTGATTTGCAACAAACAACCTTAAAGAAAACTATCATAATCTGTCTGAAATAGGCTTTGAAGTTGATGTGAAAAATCCTCGTTGTCCATTTTTTAAAGCGAAAAAGTCATGGAGGTCACGACGGTCACGACGGTCGCGGGTCGACATCTCCCATGAAATCAGGGGATCCATGGCGCGGATCCATGGTGGACAGGCCCCTCATGGAAAAGGGATAAATGTGTATCTGTATTCATATATCATACATATATATCATATAATATATATATATATACCCTGCAAATCCCTGCAATATGTTGTTATGATTTGTTATGTATGTTGTAATTCCATGTAATTCCAGAATTATTCAATCTTCACATCAGCAAGTCTGGCACATGTGTGTGTGTGTAATAAAGTGTTTGTTTGGGAGCTCGGTGCCTTTTTTAAGTGGAAACTCAACACGGGGGAAACGTCATGGTGGGTGCATCTGGATGCGGGATGCTGTGCGTTAACGATCACGTGACATCAAGGGGCAAACATATGCAGAGTCGGAAAAGAAATGCCAAGAATGTCGGCAAATTCTACCACAAATGCCCTGGGGCACGGCACAGGTTCGGCTACGACAGGCATGAGACTCCGCGACAATCTGTCCCATGTCATTGAGAGTGCAAATCTCACTTTGCTGTCGGGGCATTCTCTTAACATAGCCAAGAATTGACGTCTTCTAATCTACTCCTCGAGCAACCGTAATGCCTTGTCCATATTTTCTGACAACCTTGTGAGTTTGATGCCAGCGGCGTGAAAGTCTTTCAAAGCATGTGGGGCGGCTTGTCGGCGGTCCGATGGCTGCTCACGCAACACGTCTGCAAGATCTCTAGGTGTTCTGGGCAATTCAACATCAGGACCTTTGTGGAACACAGTTGCTAAATATGTTTCGGCAAAAATGGTGTCGGGCAAAATCTTCAGTGCTCTCATCCCATCATATGTGGACACCACGTCTTCCAATGGCGCAGTGCTATATGCTCCGATCAGGGCTGTGAGTGCAACAAGATTGGGTTTCAAGCCTAAACCTGGAAACAAATCAATAAAATACTTTGCGGCCCGATGCTGGGTCTTGCCAAAACCCCAACAAGCTCGGATGGCAGACGTTAAATGGTATATATAAACTTTCACTCCTTAGGTAGTCATCAAATAAATCACTGAAGCAGCAGCTTCCACATGACCCTCATCGGCCGCTGCACAAATCCGGGACTGTGCCAAAATCTTGAGCTCACAAGCTGACAACGTTTCATTCCAAATACTGCGAACGCTGACAGAAATTCCTGCAAGCTCCCGCAAATCCGCAGAGCAGCAGAGAAAGCTGGAGCATCCAAATCTGTCCTCACAGTTCGGAATTTATCGTGTAAGGCTGCAGTGTACACAGGTACAGCATTTCCAGTGTAGGTTGAAGCTGAGGATTGAACACCTTGCCAGTCTCTATTCTTGCTAGCCTTCGATATACTGCTCAGAACAAACTTGTCAGCGGCGCCAAGGACAAACATGCTCTTTTTTTGGACCGTTAATCTTCGTCTGCAACGCTCGTCCAGAACGCTCCCTGAAAGCTCTTGAAGGCTCCTGTTTTGGCTTTGGCTTTGCAAAGCAACATGAGGGTCTAAGATGGACACCAAACAAGCTGCAAAGAAAAACCTCTGGCAAGGGGAGGAGGCGGTCATTGTGTCAGCATGCACCCGCGAAAACTGAACCCAAAGCTACAATCTATGTCAGCTCTATCCGGTCAAGAATAGGGCCGCATATGACACAATACCATCACTTACTATAAATGAGCCCTGGATAGAAACACAATCATGTCTGATTCATGCCCCGGATGAATCCTAGGTATCTCGACTGCTACGTAAATAGCTGGATTCCTTCCCCCCATTGCTGAGTTTGGCGCCGACATTCGCGACGTTGGACTCCAGGAATAGTTGGGCCTAGTGTTGAGAGTTATCATTTGGGCCAGAAAAATTATTTGAAGGTTTTTTTTTTGTGATTTCGATATGATTTCGTTATGATTTTGTTATGGTTTCGATATGGTGGAAAATATGGTTTTCTTATGGTCTGAAACCCTCTCATCAGGACGATATGAATTTCGATATGGTTTTGTTATGGTCTGAAACCCTCCAGGCCAGGCTGCATATTTTGAAAGATTTTTTTTAGATTTTTAGATTCTAGATATACATAAATATTTACTATTATTATTACTATTATTATTGATATACATATATATATATATGAACTATTATTACTAAATTTACTACAGGACAAGAAATATAAATTTAAAAGTGAAGAAATGCCAAGGCGAAAATTAAATTGAAATAAAAGAAAAAATAAAGAAAATTTTACAAATATGATTTATATTTGAATTAAAGAAAAAAAAATGCAATGATACATTAAATTTTTAGAAAAAAGTAGAAGGATAAGTTTCCTATTTATGTTTGAAGGAAAGAAAAAGGAATTATAAATGTAACTATAACAAGAAATGTGAAAATCAGATATTTTTCAAGAATATTTAAATCTAAACATTGAAAATCTGCAAGAGCAGGTGAAAAAGTCAAGGATATCCGGATATCTGCAGTAAGGTAAGGCTCAGTAAGGTTTTTTAGTAACTTCTAGTTATTCTAGTTACGAAAACTCGTTACTAGTTACTACTAGTAACTAGTAACTAGTAGTAGTAACTAGTAAGTAGTAGTGTAGTTATCAGTATTATTGTGCACAAACTTGATGTGCACTTTGAGCTCTTCTCTCGCACTTGCAACACTTGCACTGTACACATTCTTGGTTACTTGATGCCTTTCTTGCGATCGCCTCTGGGCTCTTGACGGCAGCAGCTACGCCCTATAGGCTTTAACTCTAGCTGCTAGCTGTAGCTGTAGCTGCACTCTATAGCCGCTAGCCGCTAGCTGCTAGCGAGAAATTTGCACACGTACTGGCTGCAACTATATGACCATATGACTATGCATGACTATGACTATGACTATGACTATGACAAAATCAACAAGACAAGAGATCTTCTCTTCAAATTGTTCTTTCACTCGCGCGCGTACTTGGAGCAATATTATGAAATCTTCTCTTGCAGTTGCACACAAACTTGAGGCTACCACATTATGAGATCTAGTCAAGTCTAAAGTCTAATCATTAATCATGAGTCAGTTTAATACTCTAGGCTAGTCTGTCTAGTCATCTAATCTAATCATCTAGTCATATCTAAGAATCTAATCTAATCTTTCCATGTGCATTTGTGATGTGATGCCCTGGGCCCAGTTAAAAGAATGCGGACGGGCCAGTATGTTCGATTCAAAAGCGCAGCCTGCCAATAATAATTGGTCCTTAAGCCTTAAGCCTTAAGCCTTAATTTATTAATTAATATTTAACCGAATTTAACCATTAATCATTAATCGTCATAATCAATTAAATCATTTCATTATGGTAATTTGATTTAATTTAGTCAAGTCAGTCAACCATTCATTCATCACTTGGCCAATGGTGTTTCCCCGATGTTTAAAACGAGACTAGTGACTAGTGACTAGAGTGACTAGTGACTAGTGACTAGACTCGACCTCAGATGTTGAATTCACCCTCTCTCCCCAGAATGAATAGGCTCTACCTAGGCATGTCTCAAATCCCTACTGAAGCGCTTGCACAATTTCAGATCCACTCACTGGGTTGTTTGCGCTCCCACCCATAGCCGCTAGCCGCCCGCTAGCTGCAACCATAACTCCAATAACTCCAATAGGCCCAGGCTAATGGTTACTGGTATGATTACTGAGTATCACTGATTTGATTAACCATCAGTGGTTAGTGATTAGTGAGTAGTAATTAGTGATATGACTACTGGCTAGTGACTAGTGACCCTTGACCATAATGACTAGTGACTAGTGACTAGTGACTAGTGGTTCTGAGTAGTGTATTGTGGATTAAAATAAAGTTAATAGTTCCAATTAATAAATGAATAATAAATATAAATAAAGAAAATGAATAATGATTAATGATTAATGATGACCATGACAATGACAGTGACAATGGCTGCCTTCCTGGTCCTACCTGCCCTAGCTAGAATGCGGCTAGAAGCTAGAATAGCTAATTAGATCTAGAAAATCTAGAATCAGAACCTAGAATCTAGAAGAATTTGAAGGCCTGAGCCTTGCGGATCCCCAAACTTCCGCCACTGCCTTTTTCGCTGCCACACTGGGTCACTGGGTCGCAGGTTCCAAGCACTCGCAGAGGTTGCACGTCCGGTGCGGTACGTCGCACGTTTGTCACACAAAACTCATGACGTAAAATCGTCAAGTCATACTACGCCAAATGGTCTGCAGCTCAAGGCAGCCCTGACCCACAGCTAACAGCTGAAGGCCCCATCTTGAAAGTGAACCCCACAAAAATAATAGAATCATGAATATTTCAATACAAATATATCAAGCAACTGAACCTGAATTCTACAGGAAGCCGGCATCAATCTCCCAGCCTTCAAGCTACTACTGAGATCTCCAACTAACTGTAACTAACCGATGGCCAAATTGTTTGACTTCGCGTGATCCCCACCCCGACAATCATCTGACATACATCAATTTTTTAGACAACTGATAGATTCTTAATATTGACATTACTCCTTTGCTGGCGTTCTGCCCCAAACTGAATGAGGATAGTTACCAGTTGCCGGTTACAGATAGATAGCTGACAAATCTAGCAAGTGAAAGTGACAAGAGTTCTGCATTGACCTGGCATGCTCATTGACATTTATTGGCTTCTGGTTTGAGGTTAGGGCCGGTAATTAGGGGTTTGGGTTCAGGGTTTAGGGTTTAGGGCATTTATTTAAGTTTGTTGGCTTTAGTGAGTGCTTACATTGGCCTAGGGTGTGGGTTTAGGGTGGGTTTAAGGTTTTAGGGTTTAGGGTTTTAGGGTTTAGGGTTTTAGGGTTTTAGGGTTTAGGGTTTAGGGTTTAGGGTTTAGGGTTTAGGGTTTAGTTTTGTTAGTTTAGCGGAATGCTTTTTTATATTTAGCGTTTTGGGCTTAGGGTTATAGTTTGGGTTAAGGTTTGGGTTTAGGGTTGGGGCAGGGCTTGGGTGCCGGCTAGGCAATTTATACTCATAATATTGAATAATGGGATTTCAAAGAAGCATATTTTCTGACATTCTACCTGGCATAATGCCTGACCCTTGTTTTGATTTGTGGTTTGTGATCTGCATTCTTTCTGGTATTTTCCTATTCTGTCATTTGGCCCGGTCGATCTGATCATCTCATGTAATCACTAATCTGATCAATCTAATCTGCCAAGCCTGGCATTTTCTCAGGCATGTCTTCATACACATCCTCTTGGCATGTAGTAGTAGTAGTAGTAGTAGTAGTAGTAGTAGTAGTAGTAGTAGTAGTAGTAGTAGTAGTAGTAGTAGTAGTAGTAGTAGTAGTAGTAGTAGTAGCCGTAGTAGCCGTAGTAGCCGTAGTCGTAGCCGTAGTCGTAGCCGTAGTCGTAGTCGTAGCCGTAGTCATAGCTGTAGTCTTAGTAGTAGTCGTAGTCTTAGTCTTAGTCTTAGTCGTAGTCGTAGTGGTAGTGGTAGTGGTAGTCCTAGTCATAGTCATAGTCGTGGTCATCGTAGTCCTAGTCGTAGTCGTAGTCGTAGTAATCGTAATCGTCACTCTGTCTTACATTTTCCAACATGCTCATCTGAAGTGTGTTACAGTCTTAACAGTTTAGCATTCATTCTTTCTGAATACGACTATGATTATGAGATACAGCTGCAATCTACAATGTAGTCTCACATAGGCATTTTCATTCTTGCATGTTTGCTATTTGGTGGAGTCCGTGGCGACACTTGTGTTTACATGTGGGTTTGCTGTGGCCAGTTTGCTGAGCAGCTTGCTTTATGATATAGTCTGATATAGTTAGTTATAGCGGATAACCGGACGGCGTTTGAGGACTGATGGCCATAGGGGCCATATATTGTTGGGGTCTGGGATTCACGGCCTTGCAAAGCCAGAAAAAACTTCGCTTCTGGAATGAGTAAAGAAGGAGTCAGTCTGTCTAGATTCTAGATTTTAGATTCTAGATTCTAGATTCTAGATTCTATCTATAATAGTAGTAATACATTTACTAATCTAAAATTGGTCTCTAACGTTTTGGAATCTAGAGACCCTCACCTGGCAAACCGGGAAAATCATATGGCCCTGGCCTTGATATCCTATGACCTATGACCCTATGACATAGGACCTGTGACCATTGAATCTATATTAATCAAATCAATTCCAATCGAATCATCAAAAATCAAATGCTAAGACTTCTCAGGCTAAGACTATGGCTAAGACTAAGTGACTAGACAAATCTTCTTATAGCCGGTCTAGAGTCTAGAGTCTAGAGTCTAGTCTAGTCTAGTCAAGTCAAGGTTTGTCAGTCTAGTCAAGTCAAGTCCGGTCACATGCAATTAATTAATCAAACCATTTATCATATACATATATATATATAGAATATCGTTTATAGTATAGTAGTAGTATAGTATATAGAATCATAGAAACTCACGACAGCGAGAAACAACATGGAATGTCGCAACCGAAACAAATTTCGACGGTCAGCTCGTTTAAGCAGCATGCTGCTTGGTAACTTTAGCTGGCTACATCGGCTACGTCACGTCTACAGTCAGAGTCTACGTTGCACTGACCATTCTGTCTTATTTCTACTTATGATACAAATGAAAACTGCACCAACAGCACAAGATGGTCCAAGTGAAGTGCAATCATAGCAGTCCCGAAAGAGCTTGAGGGCTGCAACACTAAGAGCTGCACGGACCATGCACGACCATGTTGGCCGCACCACCATCCAAAAGCGGATCGTCACACCGCCGTCCGGCCGTGTCACCATGCAACATGTCAAGTGTGTGTGTGTGTGCGTGTATGTGACGAATGGTGAGCAAAGCACTGCTGTGCACACTGAGTACAGTGTGCAGTAATAAAATGTCAATATGACATGACAAATATGACTATGACTATGACTATGACTCACATGCTCAATAAGGAATGGAAAAGATCATTTGTTTAACTTACCGGTAAAGATGCCGAAATTGAAATCACACGTGCATGTTCCCAAGTCCAAGAACTATTGAAACTAAAGTGAAAAGTCAAAAAGTCCATTCGGAATACATGTGTCTCAGTCATGGAGCTTGTCACAATCTTAAAACCCTGGTAAATATGATGCTGCTTGCTTGCATCACTCATGATCTGATTTCCGGACTGCTTGCACCTAGCACCTACCACCCGCACAGCTACACAATAGATTTAGAATTCAGATTCTAGGATTCTAGGTTTCTAGATTGATCAGATAGATCGATCAGTCCAGTAGGCACGATCAGGAATCACAGCCCAATGCCACTTTGAGTTCTCTTTGGCTACTGAGGAAATTTTACCACGGCTAGCGACAGGCGCACTTCGGCTCCGATCCTTCTGAAAAACTGGTCTCCAGCTCGCAATCTCACAGGGAAGCAGTCTGTTGCAAACCTAGACCTAGACCTAACCTGACCTAAACCAAGCTCTACCACTAGGCCGGCTAGGCCACTAGGCGGCTACCAGGATCTGACTATCCGCGACTACCCTTTAAACTATGACTGCAAGGTTAAACTAATTGCTCTGGCAATTCCTATGTGAGTCGTAATTTGACATGGATAGCCTCCAGTTTCTATGTATCTATCTATCTATCTGCTATCTAAATCAATCTATCTATCTCTCTGCTATCTATGTATATTAGTAAAACAAAATAATACCTGTTTAGTCAAGCCTATCTATCTATCCTATCAGATCAACATCAGATCATCTCTGGGAGCCTTCAAAACCAACCAAACAGAACCAAACCCGCCGGCACAAGAAGGACCAAGGCGTGCAGTCAATATCAAAAGCCTAGGCATCAAAGCCCAACTTGAATTGCCAGCATTGCAAAGCAGATATTGCAAAGCAGACATTGTAGAGTGTAGAGCAGAGTAGAGATTTGAACAAAAATAGACTTGACTAGACTAGACTCGACTTTTTACTACAAGGACAGCACCAGGGGTTGGCGGAAGCTTCACAGATAGGAACCTAGACCTGGTACCTACTGACGGGCTGAAAAGCGGCTGAGTGTCTGAGTCTCTCTCTCTCTCTCTCTCTGTTTATGTATCTCTCTCTCTCTCTCTGTCTTTTTATCTCTCTATCTCTCTCTCTCTCTCTCTCGCCCTCTCCCTCTCCCTCTCCCTCTCCCTCTCCCTCTCGCTCTCGCTCTCGCTCTTGCTCTCGCTCTCGCTCTCTCTCTCTCTCTCTCTCTCTTTCTCTCTCTAGCTGTAGCTTCCTGTCTCTCTGTCTATCTGTCTCTCTGTCTGCCTGTCTGCCTGCCTGCCTGTCTGTCTGTCAGACTGCCGGTCTGCCTCTCTGTTCTTTGTCTCTCTGCCTCCTCTGTCTCACGTCTTCTTCTGTTTCCCGGCTAGTCTATCCTCTATCTATCTATCTAATCTATCTATCTATCTATCTATCTATCTATCGATCTATCTATCGATCTATCGATCTATCGATCTATCGATCTATCGATCTATCGATCTATCGATCTATCGATCTACCGATCTATCGATCTATCGATCTATCGGATCTATCGATCTATCGATCTATCGATCTATCTATCTATCTAATCTAATCTAATCTAATCTTATCTATCTATCTTTCTATCTATTCTATCTAATCTAATCTATCTAATCTATCTAATCTATCTAATCTATCTAATCTATCTAATCTATCTAATCTATCTAATCTATCTAATCTATCTAATCTATCTATCTATCTATCTATCGATCCATCGATCTATCGATCTATCGATCTATCGATCTATCTATCTATCTATCTAATCTAATCTAATCTATCTATCTAATCTATCTATCTAATCTATCTAATCTATCTATCTAATCTATTCAATCTATCTATCTATCTATCTATCTATCTCTCTATCTATCTATCTATCTGTCTATCTATCTGAATCTATCTATCTATCTATCCAATCTATCTATCTATATTCATATCCATGTATATCCTATTATATCCATTTATTTATCTGGCTCTGTATCTCTCAGAAGACCTATTTAACCTATTTCTTTCCTTCTTTAGTCTTGTCTGAGTCTCATCTAGAATATCTAGAATCTAGAATCTAGCTCTAGCTGCTGGCTACCTAGGCCTAGGCAGCTAGGCAGCTAGGCGCTAGACATGCATACATGAAAATACAAATCTATGGCTCTATCTCCTATCTATCTACCTGTCTACCTATCTACCTATCTACCTATCTACCTATCTATCTATCTATCCATCCATCCATCTATCTATCTATCAGTCTATCTGCCTGCTATCTTGCTATCCACTTACCTCTATCAATCTGTTTGTCCATGTGCCTGTTTTGTTTATTGCCCCTATATATGTCTATCTAGTTTATCTAGTTCCCTAGTTTATCTTTCAGACCTGTCATCTATCTATCTGAACCTATCTGAATCTATCTGAATCTATCTAACTCTATTTGATCTATCTATCTATCGATCGATCTATCGATCTATCTATCTATCCACCTATCTATCTATCCATCTTTTCCATCTTTTCTATCTATCTATCTCTCTCTCTCTCTTTCTCTCTCTGTCTGTCTGCCTATCTATCTATCTATCTGTCTGTCTTTCTATCTATCTATCTATCTGTCGATCTATCGAATCTATCTACCTATCTACCTATCTATCTATCTATCTATGAATCTATCTGTCTATCTATCTGAATCTATCTGAATCTATCTGATCTATCTATCTATTTATCTATCTATCGATCGATTTATCTTTCTATCTATCTATCTATCTGTCTATCTCTCTATCTATCTATCTATCTATCTATCTGCTATCGACCGATCGATCGATCGATCGATCTATTTATCTATCTATCTAATCTAATCTACTATTACTATCTATCATCTATCTAATCTATCTATCGATCAATCTATCTATCTAGCTGTCTATCTAGCTGTCTACCATCTATCTATATATCTTTTTGTCTGTCTATCTATCTATCCATCTATCTTTCTGTCAGTCTATGAATCTATCTGTCAGTCTATCTAGTCTATCTGTCAGTCTATCTATCTCATAGAATCTGGATCGATCTACGATGTCTGTCTGTCTGGCTGCCTGCCTGTCAGTCTGATCTACCAGAATCTACCACCTACCTACCTATCTGACCTGTCTATCTGAGTCTATCTATCTATGCCATGCATCTATCTGTATCTTGCTTCTGATCCGCCTATGCCATGCTACTTACTATATTACTATATTACTACTTTTACTATATACTATATATGTAATACCTCTCTCTCTATCTCTGTCTCTGTATCTACCTCTATGGTCTCTATCTGAATCTGATATCTATCTGGAATCTGGCCAGCACCAGCGGTCACCAAAGCGCCATAGCCATAGCCATAGTCACAGTCAATAATCAATAGTCGGTATCCGATAGCCCATAAGCCATAGCCATAGTCACATAGTCATAGTCGCTCATAGTCATAGTCAAAGTAATATCGACATGTCAAATTGTCTGTCATAGTTAAATATAGTAAATATTGTGATAGTGAATCTGATACTGATAGCGGCATTCATTGTTAGATTTGATTAGATAGTTGTGTTAGTTAGTGACTTAGACTTAGACTTAGACTTAGTCACTTAGTCAGTCCACACTCTGACAGGAGTACCCTGTAGCAGTAGCAGCATCCAAGTTCAGAAGGTGCAGACAGCCCTTTCTTTGACAAGCAGCAGCCCCAAAGCGCAAACAGCCAGCCAGCTCCCAAAGTCCACACACTGATCTAACAGCAGCACCCTGCAGTAGCACCCCGCTGCAGCAAGCCAGCTCCAAAGTAGACAGAGCTCATGATTAGTAGTGATTAGTGTATAGTGATTCTGATAGCGATTGATTACTGAATACTGGCTTGGCTATTTTGGCGCAGTGGAGCTTGATCCCCTGCAAAGTTTGTGCTGCTGCATCCTTCAAAGCAGCTTGCTGAGATTGTGACTGCTGACTGCATGCCCCAAAGTAATCTAAGTAGGTAGGCAGGAGAATCACAATGACAAAGCCAGCATCTATGCCTATGCGTCTTCGGCGCGGAGCGATTAAAATAATCAGTTAGTCCTTCAGTACTCAAAACTTGATACGGGTAAGTCAATCTCGAATCGAACAAATCTATCTAGAATCTAGAAGTGTTTGTTTGAAATTATTTGAATTCAACAAGTGAGTCAATCAGTGCTGACCAGGCTAGACTAGACCAATGACTTGACTTGACTGACTATGTCTAGTCTAGCAGTCTAGCAGTCAACTGCTAACTCTTCAACTTCCATCATGCTGCTTCCAGCCCTACCGAATCCTAGTCACTAGTCATACTCATAGCCCTAGTCACCTAATCACCGGACCTAATCATCCTTATTCTTGGCAATGAGCTTGCGAGACTCAGAGAGCAAAGCGGGGTGAACATTCTCCTCCATCATCGAGTTTGAGGCGATGTCGCCCAAGACATCACGCAAGACATCCTTTGCCCACTTCACTGTGGCAGAGCTGGCTCCTGGCTTGAGTTGGGCCAGGGTTGTGCAAAGCATGCCTTCGGCTTTCAGGGTCTTCCCATAGCCCATGATCTTCTCCGAGACGTTCAAGTCGGCCCAAGCATCGCGATGCTTCATGATTTCAAGAACTTTGGTCTGCTTCTGGAAATCCCTGGCGGCTTTGATGGCCTGCAGACAGGTGTGCTGAGTGAGCTGAGTTGTGCGGGCACACAATCTACTATAGTCTATAGTCTATAGTTACACTAGTATCGTATATGATCAAAATATTCTAAGTATACTAAGTATACTACAATGCAATAGCATTTTAAAATTTGCAGTCAGTAATTAGCATGGTATACACTTCTACTTACTACTTACAGTGCAGTATAAAGAGATATATAGTATTAATTATTAGTTATTAGTTATTATTATTAGTAATATATAATATAGTAAAGTATAGTTAGTTAGTAATATAGCCACTCATAGTCATGGTCAAAAGCAGGAACAGCAACGGCATGGCATGGCATAGCATGGCATAGCAAAGCCTTAAAAATCAAAAAGCGGCAGCAAGAATGGCAGCAGCTATGGCATGGCTCAAGGTTCAGCAAGAGAAAGTTGCAGGGTGCAGTTCATGACAGCATCCTAGGGTCCTAGGGTCCTAGGTCCTAGGGCCTGGCCTAGCCTAGACTGCTCACAATGTTTGGATTCCAGTTTGGATGCACAAGATTCCTTTCCACAATTCACAAGAGACAAAAGGTGACACTGAACCCAAAGCCGTAAGACTGTATGGCTGGCTTAAAAACAATCAATAAGAATTCAATTCTGTAAAATCAATGGCCTCTTCCAAGCGAGTCAGCTCAGCAGCAAAGGCAGCACCATCGATTGACGTCAAACCACCATCTTCCTTTGAAGCCTGCAAAACTCTGTTGAGAGGCGTTTCGTTTTGGAGGCCATTTTTCCAATTCGAATCACCATGTGGATCAGCCATTCCCCTGGCAGCAACATGCATGGCACGCTGAGCATCGGCCACTTCGTTCATCAGGACTGCCTCTCGCAACTGAAACGCATCTCTCAACTCATCACAGGTCAGGCGGTCATCCATTTTCTCCAGCCAGCTCCATTGGGTCACACTGTGCTCTCCAAGGGTGATGGCTTCAAGGTCGGTCTCAACTTCCCGCAAGCGATCTGCAATGACCTGAGCAGCTTTGGCAACCTTGGCAAGCTGGGTGTATGTCTCCTTCTTGTTCTTGGCAGCAGCGTCCAACTCAGAAAAAGCCACAAGCGCCACCGCGAGCTCACGGGAACTCAGGAACCCATCCAGGCTAAGGTTCATCCATTCGATCTTGTTCTTGTCAAAGGCCTCAAAGCCATCAGATCCCAACTTCTCCAAAGTCGGATCCAACTTCCCAAGCAACTCCTTCAGTGCCAAGATGATGCTCTGATGGCCAGTGAACTCAAGATCCTGCAACAGAGTGTTCCTCCCTGGCCCTTGCAAATCTGCAATCAATCTGAAATCAGATGTCAGATATCGTATCTGTATCTGTATCTGATGTCATGTCTTACATCTACGACTTCTACGATTCTATTATTACTATTACTACAAGTCTACAAGTGAAAAAGGTTTGACCATGCTGGTTGAAAACCAAAATGCCTGCCAGCACAAACACATGTTTGAAAGGTCGAGGTCTTAGCAGCCTTAGCAGTTCTAGTCTAGCAGCCCTAGCTGCTGGATTCTAGTATCCTAGCTAGCTGATTCTGGCCGCCCCCACGAACCAGCAAGTAACTAGTAATGAGTATGAGTAACTAGTAACTAGTAACTAGTAACTAGTATTGATAATTAGTTAGTAACTCGTATTAGTATTAGTAACTAGTAACTAGTATTAGTCTTAGTAACTAGTAACTAGTAACTAGTTACTAGTTACTAGTTACTAGTAACTGACTAGTAACTAGTAACTAACTATTAGTATATAACTATTAACTAACTTAACTATTAATTATTAATTAACTATCTATCTATCTGAATCTATCTGTCTATCAGATTATCAGCAGATGAGCCCTTGAATCACCCATGGAAAACTAAAGGGATGGAAAACGCCACACACATCAACTTATTCCAATAATTTCAATCAGGTTGGATGGTGTAGTGTAGTGTATGGCTTTGCAAAAGACAAAGGAAACCGTGGAGGACGGATTGTGTGAAAGATTTGTGTATATAGAAACAGTACAGAACAGTACAGTACAGTATATAGTATATAGTATGAGTAGAGTGAGTATAGAGTATAGTAGAGTACCAGTACTACACAAGGTGGCGGCGGAAGTTTCAAAAAAAAGGAAACATATAGGAGAGGTTGGTTGCTGTGAATCACGGATGGCAGAGCGATTCCACTGATGGACCAAAAGCTGGTTGGAGTTGTGTTTTTTGGAGTGGTTGCAATGTTTTCAGCGGTCACCTCACCACAACTGCTGGATGTAGTGTGGTGCGTAAAGCAGTTGTGGCTGTAGTTGTAGTGTAGTGTAGTGGAGTTGTAGTTGTAGTGTTGTGTAATGGCTTAGTGCAGTTGTAGTTGTGGTGTGGTGTAACTAGTGTAGTGTATATTGTAGTGTACTGTACTGTTGTGTACTGTAGCTGTAGCTTGGTATAGTGTAGTGTAGTGTGATCTAGTAATCTAGAATCTAGAATCTAGAATCTAATGTAGTGTAGTGTAAGTGTAAGTTTAAGACAGTGATAGTGTCAGTGCAAGGTAGCGTACAGTGTAGCAGTGTAGCAGTGTAGTGTAGTTGTAGTGTAGTGATGTGTAGTGAAGTGCAACTAGTGCAGTGTCATTTAGGGTTTAGAGTTTAGTGCAATTTAGTGAAATTAGTGGTAGTTGCAATTGTAGTCGCAGTTGTGATTGTAGTGATTGTAGTGTACTGTCATGTAATGAGTGTAGCGTAGTGTTGTGTAATGTAATGTAGGTAGTTGTAGTCGCATTTGTAGTTGTAGTTGTAGTGTTCTGCAGTGTAATTAGCGCAGTGTAGTGTAATGCAGTGTAGTTGTAATTGTAGTTGTAGCTGTGGTAGTAGTTGTTGGTAATTGTAGTGTAATTAGTGTAGTGTAGTGTAATTAGATGTAATCAGTGTGTAGTGTAATTACTAGTGAAGTGTAGTGTAATTACTAGTGAAGTGTAGTGTAATTACTAGTGAAGTGTAGTGCAGTGTAGTGTCATGTAGCGGTAGCATAGTTTATTTGCATTTGTAGCTGTAATAGTAGTGTAGTGTAGTTGTAGTTGTTGTTGTCATTGTAGTTGTCTGTCTATCTAACTATATATCTGAATCTATCTATCTCTATCTATCTGCATCTATCTTTCAATCTATCTATCTGCTCTACCTGATATCTGTCTATCTAGCCCTAGCTCTAGCTGACTCTAGCTGGCTCTGACTCTAGACTCTAGACTCTAGACTCTGGCTGCTAGCTGCTAGCTGCTAGCTGCTAGCTGTAGCTGACTCTCACTCTCTAGCACTCTGACTCTATATCTATCTAGCTGCTGCTAGCTGCTAGCTGCAATCTGCAAGCTTGAAAACGAAGCTATTCAATTCTGCGAGACTTCCTCAGTTTTTGAACTTGACAACGTCAAAAACGAAACAATTCTGTGGACTTCCTCAATTTTTAAACTTGACAAGATCAAAACCGAAACAAGTCTGCAAGACTTCCTCAATTTTCGAACTTGACTTGCCAACAAAAACGAAACAAGTCTGCAAGAATGCTGCAAGACTTCCTTCAAAAATGGAAAGCTGACGGCCTTGTATCTAGAGTCTAGAGTCTAGAGTCAGAGTCTAGAGTCTAAAGTTTAAAGTACTGTGCCACCTTCATACAAAGCGCTGCACCTGTCACACAAAATCATCTTCCCAAAACTGAAGATCTGATGATCTGATGCTCCAAAATGCAACCCCTCTCATGAAATTAGCGCCCAGACCTCCTATAGGTCCTAACAGGTCCTAACATAGCATCTCTGGTGAACATGTCTCTTGTACTGTACTGAGTACTGTGCCTGCCATGGACAATGCATCTTTGCAGATCCTCTTCACATGTCCCACCCCTGCCATCGTTTTTGGAAATGCTACAAAAGCCTCACATTTTGCTCACTTTTTGGCGAGGTGCACAATCCCTTGTGCCTGCCACACGAACCAACATCTGAACTTCCGAAAGCGGTCCGAACATGATGCCAAACATGTAGTGCTTTTAACAGTTTGACCTCTAAATGTGCTTGGCGCCACAACGGTATGCACTTGTTGGACATCTCAACTTCCAAAAGTGGTCCGAGCATGGTGTGCTTTGTACATTTTGACTTGGAAATGTGCTTCTCGCCACAATGGCTTGCACTTTTTCGATGTCTCAACTTCCAAACGTGCTCCGACACTGGGGTGTTCTGTACATTTTGACTTCCAAATGCGCTCCTGGCCACAACTGTGCACTTCTTCGGCATCTCAACTTCCAAAAGTGGTCCGACGTTGGTGTGTTTTGTGCATTTTGACTTGGAAATGTGCTTTGTGTCACAACAGAACACAACTTTTAATCTCTCATCTGACCAACTGGCTCTGCACCCTCTGCTTTCGCGAGCCTACTTTTTGACCCCCCAGGGCCACAAATCATTTGAAAACACACAGTGAATTGCGACTTTTCTGCCTTTTCTCGCACCTGCATCTTCTTTTGCTTAGACTCTAGAATCAGACTTTCTCTTTTTGATATTCGTTCTTCTTCTCTTCTCCTCTCTGACTCTTCCCATCTCCGCTTTTCCTTCTGTCCATTTTGTCAGAAGATTGACTTCTAAACTCTAAACTTCCTTTGGTTAGAATAGTAACGTATTAGTATAGTAACGTATAGTATAGTATAGTAAAGTATAGTATAGTAAAGTACAGTATAGTATAGTATCGTATCGTATCGTATTGTATAGTTTTGTATAGTATAGTAAGTATAGTAGTATAGTACAGGTATAGTAACAGTATAGTAACAGTATAGTAGTATAGTAACTAGTATATAACTAGTATTATTAGCATTAGTTAGTTAGTTACAGTTATTACTAGTTACTAGTGACTAGTGGCTGCTGTTACCCTAAGCCAAACGCCATATGTTTGGATGCTCGCAGTTTCAAGCTCGCACGAAAGAAAAGAGGCTACCCGCCACCCTTCCCTGAAGCCAGATGTTGCCATAAATAAACTGAATTCCCATTCCAAAGTGAAGTCCTGAAAATGCCTAGTCAGTTCTGTACTTGGCATGCCATTGTACCAATGCACTGAAGAAAAACACAGTAAGAAATTGCTGAGCCGAATTGCAAGCTGAATGGCATGTGTGAAAGTTCATATCCCTACCGACATGTTTGATTTGTTGTGATTTGACAAGAGTCAATCTTCGAGTAATCCCCAAGTAGAAAAGGAGGACAACCAACAACAAGAGGAGTATATAGTAACTGTAACTAAGTCTCTAAGTCTAAGTAAAAAATAGAAATATAAATTGTCTGCATGCCGTTCGGATGTGCAAGCTTGATGTGTGAACGTGTTCTTTGCTGCCTGCAAGAGTCTGCTGCTAGCTAGCAGCTAGCTAGCAGCTAGCAGCTAGCAGCTAGCAGCTGGCAGGATGTGTGTGAAAGGGTTGTGTGTGAAAGCGTTGGGTGTGTGAGAGTTGTGTGTGAATTGGCTATGCCCCTATGTCAATGTGTGAAGGAGCTGCATGTGAAAGAGTTATGTTATGTGGGAAAGAGTTGTGTGTGTGAGTGAGCTGTGTGGGACAGTGGGACAGAGTTGCTGTGTGTGTGTGTGTGAAAGAGTTGCATGAGAAAGAGCTGTCCTTGGGTCCTTGGGAGAGTCAGGTATGCCAGTGGGCCAATGTTGTGTATGCGTGTGTCAGTGTAAGGCAGAGTCCAGTCCAATGAGTCCAATGTGTGCTTGTGTGTCAGTATTGTGCAACAATAATATTTCAAATTTCTATTGTTTACAGTGGGTTTACTTACTTACTTGGAAAGTGGCAGTTAAGCTTATGTTACCATCATTACTATTTACTGACTATCAGACTATCTTTATCAGTTGTGCTAGTTACTAGTTACTAGTTTATACTTGGGCCCTAGAGACACAAGAAGTCCAAAAGGAAGGAATAGTGTTGCGTATATAGTATATAGTAACTATAGTACTATAGTATAGTATAGTGTATAGTACCTGTATAGTAAGTATAGTATATTAATTAGTAGTAGAAAACACGCGCTCGTGTTACGCTGTTACGCAAGGTCCGCAAGGTGTGACATCCAACATGTGCAGTGTGTCAATGAACACCAGAATCACCAGAACAGTACACAATGGTGTGGGGAAAAACAGCTCAAGGCTCAAAGTTCAAATTCTGATTCGATTCTAAGGACAATCTGCAACCACAAGTCATGTTTTCATGCCTGTTTCCACACCTGCCTGGAACAGGACGTTCAAGCGGCGGAGGTGCCACCAGAAAACACGCTTCATCTTCTTGTGCAAGTCTGGCTGACCCACCTTCTCGATCTGACGCATTGCGGGCATCAAGCGCTTGAGGTAGCTATCCAGCTGCTCAGGGATGTCATCCCCAAAGCTCTCAGGGTAAGCATCCACCATGGTTGCAATCTCCTTGGTGCAAAGAACGCTCATACTGGAAGCCTTCAAGCCATCAAGCTTTGTCAGCATCTGGACCACCCCAGGCGTGTCTTTGAACATGGAGAGCACCTCTGTGACACTGTCAAAGAAGCCCAGGCCACACTTGACCTCCTTCTCAATCTCCCGCGCCGCCAACACAGCTTGCTTGTAGAGCAACTTCTCAAGGTCAGCACATGCTGTTGAGCGCATGTTGCGCTTCAGGACGGGCAGCCGTTCCACACAGGTGCGGAAAACCACAGCAGCATCTGACTCTGAAGTCTCTTCCATGTGCACCCCTTCCACTTTCGAGGTCAAGCTCTGAAGTTCTGGTGAATGGGTAACGCTTCCAGCTCCTTTTGCAACGAGGTCATCGTACATGCGGTTCCAGGCCGGATTCGAAGCAATGACGTCTCGCAGGGTGGCTTCGAAGAGGTGGCTCCCCGCATAGCTGCGGATCTTCTGCGCATGTTGTGCGGTGCTTCCTTTGTGTCCAGGCTGTACGTTGGCCATTGCCAACAGCCCTTTGGCACAAGCACCGATTCGCTCCAAAACATTGCCCAGAGCAATGTCTTCCAAGTCCTGCTCAGCCCTGTATGCACTGCACTCATTTGCAAGGTCTGCAAATGAGTCCAGTAGCGCCATCAAGCGCGACCTGTGCTTGGCAGGGTCGCCCACACCCACAAGGAAGGCGGAACATCCGAATGCTTCCATCAAGCATTCTGCCATCACCTGCCGGCCAGCCACAAGCCATGGCACTCATCTTCTCAATCATCCACTCAAAAGCAAACATGATTGAGTTTCAATACATTCAATAGCAATAGACTTAACAGACTGTGGGTGGTAGTAATAGTAAGAGTAAAAGCGACATGACTACTAAAGTATAGTTTGGCCCTGCAAAGGAAGGACATATACCAATATAGGCCCTAGCCCTACAGTCCTGAAGCTGTGTCCAAGTTGTCTAAGTCTAACGTCTAGAAACTAGTAACTAGTCAAGTCTCTAGAACCTAGAATCTAGAATCTAGAATCTAGAACCTAGAATCATGCAAACCAAGATTACCTACACCCCTAGAGTCTAGAGTCTAGAGTCTAGTGGCCTGGCCAAAGCTGAACCTAAATTTGGTCTTAAACTTATTTAGACTTTAGACTTTAGACTTTAAACTTTAGACTTATGTATACTTTATACTAGTTACTAGTTACTATAAGACTATGACTATAATATAATAACTATAAGACTATAAGACACCGTGCGCAAAGCACATTTGGAAGTCAAAATGCACAAAAGCCGTAGCTCCACCCCACCTTTGGCAGTCAGGATGGAGATGTTGAAACATTCACACTGTTGTGCGCCCAGCACATTTCCAAGTCAAAACCATTATAGACTGAGGGTCTCGGACCACTTTTCGAAGTTTGGATGTGGTTTTAGTGGCAGGCGCAAGGGACTCTGCTACACCTTCCCAAAAGTGAGCAAAGCATGAGTGTTCTGCACCAGTTGCAAAACGTTGGCAGGTCCAGGTATGGGACATGTGAAAAAGATCTGCAAAGATGCATTTTGCATGGCCGACGCAGTAGAAGGTAGAGTCGAGGAGACACATGAATCAGACATAAGTCTGGGCACTGATTTTCTGAGAGAGGATTGCATTCTGAAACATCTTCAGGTTTTCCAAACCGATTTTACATGACTGACCCGGCCTCCCTTTTTTCTGCAGCAGGCACACTACTCACTCACTACTTCAGACTTTAGACTCTAGACTCAGGCTCTAGACTCTAGGACTCTAAACTCTAGACTCTCTAGACTCTCTAGACTCTAGACTCTAGACTCTAGTCCTCTAGACTAACTTTAGCTTTTAGACAGATGGAATGCAGTAAATTGTATTAAATCATATCATATTTTCAATTTTAGTTATAGTTGACGTGACAAGCCCAAAATACCACAATTCTACAAGACTCGACTTCCTCATTGTGAGCACATTGCGTATACAGGTTTGGTCTGCTTCCTCAAATCTATTCAATCTATTCTACATTCTGCTACTGCTAGTGATGTGGGACTGCTGCTATGTCATAGCAGCATGGCATAGCATGGCATAGCATAGCAGAAGAGCAACACAAAAGTTTCTTGGCAAACTGTTCACACACCATTACCCCGGTGCCAAAACAAAAAGAACCAGGCCTCCTGAGCTTTCTGTTCTTCTTCTGCAAAGTCATCCTCGCTGATAACTCCATTCAACCTCTTGGTTTCTGCAATGTCCGATGCTGCCTGAAGGACGGCGGCCGAAGTGAGGTTGAGCTCATCCAAAGGCTGACCAGGAATCCACCAGTGGAATTTCTTTGTGATCGCATCCACTCGGCTGCGGACCTCTTTGAAGTCTCCCTGTGGCATCTCAAACAGGTCATGCATGGCAAAGTCGACCTGGAGCTCCAGAAGGTCCAGTCTGATCCGCAGAGGTAGCTGCACCTTTGCCCGCTGGACGGCTTCAACATGGGATGTCAGCTCACCACGCGGCACTTGCTTCAGCTTCTTGTGCTGCAACACCTGGCACCGCTCGATCAACACAATCCTGGACTCCAGCAAGGCCGCAAGAGGGGATCTCATGCCCTGCAACTTCTTCTGCAAAGTAGAAGCCTAGGACAGGACCACATTGTAAAGGGTGACTTGACTAGACTCGATGACTAGACTTACCCTCATGATGCCTGGCCTATATTCTATATAGAATGCCAAGAACTTGGGTTCGGTGCAGGCACACGTCAGAAAATTGTTCTTTATCTATGTTCAGGGGCATCCTGGGAATCATGCAAAAGTGGGAAGTCTGAGTCAAATCACCTTCAGTCCTTCAGACATGACCGCGCAAAACATGTGTCTCTCAACACAGCAGCCTGTCAATGGCCTCATGTTGGTGATTTTACCGGGTCAGTGGCTGCCTCTGTATAATAGGCCGCACAAGCCCAAGGAAAACTGACATGTATATGCTCTATTGAATATTGAATTTAACTTAATTGTAACTGTAACTAACTATGCCATATGCCATCCATAACAGCTATCTATACTAATTACTTACTAATTACAAATAAATATACTATATTATTATTTATATATATATACACACACTTACTGATTCTATTCTATTCTATACTATACTATACTATACTATACTATTTGCTTTACTTTACTTTACTGTTACTATATTACTATACTATACTAGACTAGAGACTAGACTATACTATACTTTACTATACTATACGATAAGACTACACTTTACTTTACCATACCAGACCATACCATACCACACCATACTATACTAGACTATACTGTACTATACTTTACTTTACTATACTATACTTACTATACTATTTAATACTATACTATACTATACTAAACTATACTATACTTTACTATACTATACTATACTATATACTACTATATACTATACTATTATATACCTCTATACTTACTATACTATACTATACTATACTATACTATACTGTACTATACTATACTATACTATACTTTACTATACTATACTATACTAGTTACTAGTTACTATACTAATACTATACTATACTATACTATACTATACTATACTTTACTATACTATACTATACTATACAGTTACTATACCATACTAAATACTATACTATACTGTACTATACACTGTACTATACTATACTACTATTACTATACTACTATTACTGCACTTACTATACTATACTTACTTTACTTTAGTTACTATACTATACTATACTTTACTATACTATACTATACTGTTACAGAACTCTTAAATAACTACTACTTTACTATATATTGTTTATTAGTTTATTGTTCTGTTACCCTAGACTCTTTACTACACTACACTACACTACACTACACTGCACTACACTGCACTACACTACACTACACACTAACTACACACTACACACTACACACTACACACTACTAGTCACTACACACTACACACTACACACTACACACTACACACGACACACTACACACTACACACTACACACTACTAGTCACTACACACTACACACTACACACTACACACTACACACTACTAGTCACTACACACTACTAAAGTCACTACACACTACACACTACACACTACACATTACACACTACACACTACACTACACTACACTACACTGCACTATATCCACTAGTCACTAGTCACTATCACTATCACTATATTCATTCGATATCCTATCCCATTTGCCATATGGCCATATGGCATATTGCCATACGATACAATGACAATGATACAACGATCGCATACAATGGCTATAGCGGCTTAGAAGCTTAGACCAGATAAATGCTTGGCAAGGGCCCTTTCACACTTTGCCAAAATAATGCAGCCAAAACACACCGCGCAACTGCTTGCCCACCTTCATGCCATCTTCAAAGGTCTTGGCTGGCAGCAGGCCAAGCAAGCTGTTGGTAGCAGAGCCTAAGCCCTTGGCAACTTGCATCAGCAAAGTATCCGATTGGATTGCTTGCCAGACCTCGTCCGAATCTCCACCATCGTCAATATCCGCGATGTCTGCCTCATCTTCCGGACCAGATAGCTTCGGCCGCTTGGCTGGTGGCTTCTTGGTCTTGGCAGGCGCTGATTCGGCCAAAGCTCCAAGGCTGAAGGCAGGGGCAGCTGGTGGAACAATTTCCACTGCATCGTCATCTGCTTCTTCAGAGGCAGCAGACTCATCTTCCGACTCTGGTTGTTCCTGATCCTCCATACCATTCTCGTCTTCTTCCATCTCTTCAGCGGCCTGCACGCAAACAAGGAGCAAAAGGCAAGCAACAGAATCAGGTTCCAGATTCCAGCTTGTCTCTGCTGCTACAAGCTGTCTACAGTTATATCTGAATCCTAGATGAATGGTTTGACATGGGCTTTGGGATTAGATTCATTAGATTTCACATTGCTTCTTGGTGAAACATGAAATCTCAATGTGTAACACTGAACTGAAAAGTGAGAATTTTGCAGCTCAACTGTAATCCTCTGATATGTTGTGGGCATCGCACCATCACCAAGTGACATATAGGCAGTCGCTATTCACTAGTCACTAGTCATTGCTAGTCACTGCTGATATCTGATATTGAATACTGAATATTGTGAATGCATGGATGGCGGATAGCAGCTGGTGGCTAGCGGCTAGCGGCTAGCGACTAGCGACTAGCGTCTAGCTAGAGTCTAGCTAGTAAGTAACTAGTCAACTAGTCAAGTCTAGTCTAGTGAGTCCAGTCAAGTCTAGTCTAGCTAACTGACTTGACTGACTACAATGACTACAATCAACGTGACTACGTGACTACCCTGTAGCCAGCAGCTAGCAAACTAGCAGCTAACAGCCAACAGCATCAACAGCATCATCAGCAGTAGCAAGAACGGCTAGCTAGCGGCTAGCTGAAGGATGTTGGCATGGAGCTATGATCTTGAAAGCTGGCAAATCATTCCAAAACTCGAAAAGAAAGGGGCTCAAGAGGCTCAAGGCCAGGCTGCAGTGAGACTCCAGGACTCTCGGACTCTAGACTCTAGAACCTCGGACCTAGGACTCTAGGAGTATAGCAGCATCCACACAACCCAAACAAGCCCCACAGTGAAGCACCTGGATCTCCTTGGCGCGATCGCTCAAAGTTGAAAAGGTCATGACATGGCCTCGTCCTTGCCAGCAACATGAATTTAGCCACACCTAGCCACCCAGTGCCAAGTGGGTAGAAAAACAGACAGACAATGTGAGCAGCAGAGTCCCAAAGGTTGAGAAGGGAAAGGAACTAACTAACTAACAAATGACAATGAATGCTGGGCTGCACTACCTAAGTACAATGACTACATGGCAAATCTGGTGACAAACAAAAAAGAACAGCTACTATGGTTACCGGTTACTGGCTGCTTTGAAATTTGTCAGCTCCCAAAGTTGCCAGCAGTAGTCAGTACCACACACAAGACAATGGTGGAAGTTCAAAAAATGAGAAGCTTGTAGGAAGGGTGGGTTGTTGTGAATCACGGATGCCAGAGCAAATCCACTGATGGATCGAAAGATGGTTGGAGCTGTGTTTTTTCCAGTGGTTGCAGTGGTCACCTCACCCACAACTGCTGGATATGGCCTGGTGTTGTAGCTTAGTTGCAGTTAGTTGTAGTTGTAGCTGCAGTGTAGTGAAGTGTAGTGTGTAGATTGTAGCAGCTGTAGTGTGCAGTGACTGTAGTGTAGTCCAATTAGCGTGGCGTAGTGTAGTGTAGTTGCAGTTGCAGTTGTAGTTGTGGTGTGGTGTAAGTAGTGCAGCATGGCATAGTGTGTGCAATGTAGCGTGGTGTCGTGTTGTGTAGTGAAGTGTAGTGACTGTCGTGTAGTGTGGTGTATTGTGGTGTAGTAATGTGGCACAATGTAGTGTAGTGTAGTGTAGTGTAGTGCAGTGTAGTGAGTGTACTGTTGTATTGTGTACTGCACTGTAGTGTATTAGTGTGGTCAGTGTAGTCTAGTGACTGTAGTGTAGTGTAGGGTAGTTGTAGCTGTAGCTGTAGCTGTGGTTATAGTTAGAGCAGAGTACTGCAGTGCAGGCCGTAGGTCGTAGTAGGTGTAGCTGTAGTTGCAGTTGTAGTTGTAGTGTGGTGAAATTAGCGTAGCGAAGTGCAGTGTAATTAGTGAGTGTGGTGTAAGTGTAGTGACATGCAGTGAAGTGCAGTGTAGTGACTGGTGACTAGTGACTAGTCGCTGCAGTGTAGGGAATGTAATTAGTAAAAAGTATTTACTGTTGTGTCAGTGTGGTGAGTGTTAGTGTAGTGTAATGCAGCGAAGTGCGGTGTATTGTAGCTGCAGTTGTAGCTGTAGTTGGAGTCTATGACTCTAAGAATCTTTCTATCTACAATTTAGAATCTAGAATCTAGAATCTAGCTAGAATCTAGAATCTAGTATCTATAACCAATCTCTCTATCTATCTGATCCATCTATCTATCTCTCTCTCTCATCTGTCTATCTGACTATCTGATATCTATCTATCTGAATCTATCTATCTATCTATCTATCTATCTATCCATCGATCTATCTATCTATCTATGACAGTTGAGAAATCTATCCATCTACTTACCTATCTTTCTATCTGAATCTATCTATCTATCTGTCTATCTGCTATCAGATCAAATCTATCTATCTTTCTCACTATCCATCAGAATCTATCTATCTGTCTGAACCTGCAAGCCTGAAAACTAACTGGTAACTAGTAACTAACTAGTCCCTAGTCACTAGTCACTAGTCTAAACTAGTCACTAGTCGCTAATGAAGCAAGTGTGGCTATTCTGCCAGATTTCCACTGTCACCTTTTTCAACGTTGACAACATCAAAAAAGCAGAGTTCTGTGAGACATTCCACAATGCACAAGTTTCCAACTTGACAACATCAAAAACAAAGCAAGTCTGCAAGACTTCCTCATTGTTGGAAGTTGACACTCTCAAAACAAAGCAATTCTGGGAGACTTCCTGCAAAAATGGCGGCTCGTACCAGTGACCATTGTTGCTTGTGGCTTTTCCACTGCATCGAGTCTAAAGTGTTGAGCACCACAACGGTGCACATTTTTCCTACATCGCAACTTCGAAAAGAGCTCCTAATGAGTAAATGCTAGTGACGACTAGTGACTAGTGACTAGTGACTAATGACTAATGACTAATGACTAATGTCGTCCTAATGTGAGGTGTCAGTGTATTCTACATTTTGACTTCAAAATGTGGTTTGTCGCACCACAACGGCATGCACTTTTTTGACATCTCAACTTCTAACACTGCTCCCAAGCTGAGGTGTTTTTACATTGACTTGGAAATGTGCTTCCCACCACAACAGTGTGCAATTTAATCTAGCAATCTAGCAGTCTAGAGTCTAGAGTCTAGCAGCTAGCAGAGTCTAAGTCTAACTCTAACAAGTCTAGCAGCATCTGGCAAGATGGCTCCGCACCTGCTGCTTTAGCAAGCCTACTTGTCGACCCTCCTGAGCCACAAATCATTCAAAAAAACACAGTGTTTTGTGACTTTGTGACTTTTGCTACCGGCTGCCGCTTCACACACCTGCATCTTCTTTCCTCTGGCTCCTTCTCTTCTCTGATCTTCTCTTCTCCTCTCTTCACACCTCTGCTTTTCCATCCGTTCATATTGTCGGAAGTTGTAGACCTTCCCGCCCTGCCCTACCCTCTATTATTACTATATTTTGCCTAAAAAAACAAAAATCTGGCTCTGAGGTGCACAGCCCTGTCCTGCAGCCTTCTCCGCAGTTGTCCTGGTCTGCCCGGAAAGCGCCAGCTGGAGGACATCTTTTCCCTGGCCTGGTCTGATCTGGGTGGAGCCCGACAGCAAAGTGTCGAGGTGGGAAACTGACAGCTTAGTAGACACTCGGACTCGCCGGAGGCACTGGGCGATCATTGGGTCCAACCCCCATAGCTGGAGGTGCCAGCCACTGACAGTACCACTTCCGTCCTCAAGCACCATTGCCACCGGCTTGGGCAGCTTCAATGACTTGGAGGTCAGCCCCGGCCAGATCTTTCCGATGTCACTCTCTGTCATGAAGGCGACCTCGTAAAAGAGTTCCGACTCGTAACTGCGCTCGTACTGCACCTTTGCTTCTGGCAAGATGAAAGGTAAGGAGTCCTTCTTGATCATGACGGACATGATGGAGGAAGCTGCCGTGACAGCTGCTCTGAACTCCTTTCCATCTTCGCTCTTGCTGTGGTAGAGCTCAACCAACTCAGACTCCTCCTTGTGAGGCCATCCAAGCCTGAAGGTCTGCATGTGCACCCGGCACCCGTGGCCAATCGGATTCCCTTTGGCATCATACTGGTCCCAAGCTCCGGCCTGAGGCAAAGCACAGCTGGTAGAAAGAACTGAGCAGCTGGTGAGCTGGTGCAAACGGAAAATGGTTGCCTACGCCCTACGCCCTACGCCACACATGTCAGGCTCTAAACTTGAAGGCTCTAAAATTTCAAAAAACACAGCAACTAACTACAGTAACTGTAACTACAGTCATGACACTGTCATTGCAGCTGATAAATTTTGATTTGGATCCACTCCTGCAAATGCCACCAAAAAACACATTGACATAGGCTCGATTCAAACAACATAGATTTGATTTGATTTGATAGATTGCTGTCCATTCTGTGCTGCAGTCTGCAGCTACACTTCCATGAATCCCACACTTGAAAGCGTTTCTCAGCGTTTCTCAACCATGCTGCTCTTACTACTACGTTACTACTCAGCAGAATGACAACAAATGAAATGACCAGGTCAGAAACAGAAGTTCGAGCGGTACAGGGAAGGAAGGACAAACAAAGGAGGTGGTGGAGGTACAAAAGTTGTATGTCATGTGGAAGAGTTGTGTGTGTGTGAGACTGGTGTGATGTATGAGGGTGAAACAGTTGGGTGTGTTTGTGTGCAAGAGTTGTGTGTGTGTGAGGAAGTTGTGAATTAGTAGTAACTTAGTAGTAGTTACTATTACTTCTATTAGTTACAGTTACAGCCAGCAGCTAGCAGCTAAAGGCTAAAGCTAAAGTTAAAGTTGTGTATGGAGTGTCAAAGAGCTGTGTGTGTGTGAGAGAAAGTTGTGTGTAAAAGAGTTGTGTGTGCAAAAGTTGTTTGTGAGAGAGCGGGCCTCCCAAGCAATGCGGTTGAGAGTTGGGAGCAGGCCTCTATGTCTATGTCATGTGCTCAGCAAGCATCATTAGCCCATCGCCCTTGCTGCCATGCTTGGTTGAGAACTGAGGTGTGCCGAAACTAGGCTTGCACATGACTTTCTGGCAAGTTAAGTAACAGTAACACATCATTAAACATGGCTTGCACCACGTTTCAGGCAAAGACGGCAAAGACACCAGAATTGTTTGCAGCTTGCACAAACAGCCACAAACAGCCACAAACAGCCACCACTGCAAATGATTCTTCTCACAGTGGGTCACAGCTTCACTGGCCATCCGGAAAGCCAGTTACAGCTGACAGGTTAACAGTTGACAGTTAACAGTTAACAGTTACAGCTCTGTCCTACCTACCAGACCATAAGTGCCATGCCTGCCATGCAAACAAAGATCTAAGTCTAAGCGCCACGCCTGCCACACAAAACAGAGGTCGATGTGGCCAAGTGCCACGCCTGCCATGCAAAACAAAGATGTGAGCAAGCAAGCGCAACACCTGCCACACAAAACAAAGGTCGGCTTGAGCAAGTGCCACAACTGCCATGCAAAACAAAGGCCGATATCAGCAAGTGCCATACCTGCCACACAAACGGAAGGTTGATGTGAGCAAGTCACATGCCTCACACAAAGTGCTGAGGCGCCCCCAGGCAACCACAGTGACCAATGACCACATGTGCCATTATGAGAAGTCATAAGTCTTAGGTCTTAGTCATAGTCATAGTCTCAAGTCATTGTCAAAAGTCATAATTCAAAAGGCATAAGTCAAGTCATAAGCCATGCCATTTATGCCAAAAGCCATATGTCATAAGTCATTGTCATAATGACATAATGACATAATAATGACGGTCATAAGTCATATGTCATAAGTCATAAGTCATAAGTCACAAGTCATAAGTAAGTGCCATACCACACCTGCCATGAAAAAACGAAGGTCGATGTGAGCAAGCAGCAAGTGCCAAGCCTGCCACACAAACCAAAGTGCCACACAAAACTAAGGTCTGGAAAACTGTAAGTGCCACTCCTGCCACACAAAAATAAGGTCGAGTCTAGACAGGGACCAGCATGCAACCAGACCAAGCCAGTGCCAATAAGTGCCACGCCTGCCAAGCAAAACAAACATCGATGTTGCCAAGCGCCATGCCTGCCATGCAAACTGAAGGTGTGACTGAAAGATGGTGTGTCACAAAGTTGTGTGTGCAAGATTGTGTTTGACAAAGTTGTGTGTGTGTGAAAGATTGTGTGCGACAAAGGTGTGTGTGAAAGATTGTGTGTGACAAAGCTGTGTGTGTGTGTGTTATCAAGGTGTTGTGTGAAAGTTTGCGTGTGTGTGTGAGGAAGTTGTGTGTGACTAAGTTGAGTGTCAAAGATTGTGTGTTGACAAGGACAGAGGGGGAGGAGGAGGAGTGGACTGAGGCACAGAACCAAAAGCAAGAACCCCGCACAAAGATGTAAAGAACTACAAAAACTCTGGCAGCTGCATTGCTGCACCAGCAAAACAAACTAAAACTAAACTAACTAAGCTCAAGGCTGGCAAAGCATCTGGCAACTTCTGGCACACTGGGCAAGCAGAGAACTTTCCCGCAGCTTTCGGCTTCTCAGCCTTCCTCAAAGCAGCTCGGGCAGTACCCTTCTTCTTTGCAGGGCTTGCAGGCTCCTCCTCAGCTGCAGCTGCACCACGTACCGGCATCACAGCCCATCCAGCCGAAGGAAGGGATCCAAAGCTATTGGCACGGGAAGGCGCAGAGGTAGAAACATCAGCTTCACTATCCTCCTCCTCTGCCTTCACTTTGGCAGCTTTGGGGGCCTTACCTCTCTCAGCCTTCTCTTTTGTTGGGACCATCTTCGCCTTGGGCAGCACCTGGCCAGGTCGGCAATCATCCTACATGCTGTCTGAGTCTGGGTCAAGTGTGGAAGGACAGTGCTGGAACAAAGGATCAACTCGTAATTCGTATCTTCTCAATGCATCCACAGGATGAAGCCGGTGTTTGTGGGTGTGGGCCTGTGGGTACATGGGCTATTAAGATCTATAGTATATATAGTTACTATAGTTATAGTTATAGTTACTATGACTATGACTATGACCTGAGAAAGACAAAGTACAGAGTCCAGAGGCTTTCAGCAGCTGCCACAATTTCTATTCTAACAAGTTAACTTGAGTCAGCAGCAACAAAAAACAAACAATATCCCTGGCACGCAAAGCTTGCTCTCAGTAAGGATCTGTGCCCTGAGTCGGAAATATATGTATGCTGAAAAAAAATCTGATCTCCTGGCCCAATGCCAGACCTTCTTCCCATTGTCTTTGCCGTCTTTGCCTGTGTTCCTCTTCACACCCATGGCGGTCACTGTAGCAGTAGCAGCTCAGAAACTGCTACTGACCAAGCACCAAGACTGGCAAAGTTCGAATTTGGAATCTCAGCCGTGTCAGCTGTTCTTTGCCCGCTAGCTAGCTTTGCTGTGTTCCAAAATTTGCGCAGATCGGAACAACAGTGGAAACCCACATGAAATGCCACAACATTCTGAATGGATAGCATTCATTGAATAGCACCTGCAGGACAGTGACACCATCCTGCACCTTCCACAATACTGAATACTGCCTACAATGTTGCATCTCATCATATAACCGATCTAATCTAACCTAGCCAGACCCAACCCAGTGAAACCAACAACAATACATGAAGCAACTGCTTCCAGGCGATCACAAAGTTTTGGTCGGTTCAGCCGCTTCAATCTGGAACCTATGCTGATTGAATTTGAGTCTTGGATCCACACAACTGCAAGCTGCCAGCTGCTAGCCAGCTGCTGGGCCGCTAGGCTGCCGCTCAGCCCCTCCAGTCATGGAGGCAGCTGCAATTGCAAAGCTAAAAACAAAATCATGTTGGCAGGGCTATAGGGCAGCATCAAAGTCTAGAATGTGTAGAGTCTAGAGTGTAGAGTCGAATATAAAAGAAGAAACATCAAATGAAATGAATTTTGCTGCTCTTTCCTGCATTCAAATATCTTCAAGGTGAAAGAAGACTGTTCAGATCACTAGCAGAGCACTCACTAGTTACACTAGCTACTAGTTTTCCGGCTGTAGCCGTTCACTAGTTACTACTAACTGCTAACTGGTAAGTAACTAGTAACTAGTATAACTAGTAACTAGTAACTAGTACTTAAAGTAGTTAGTCAGTTAGCCTGTTAGCTAGCAGCTAGCTGGATAGCTACTTACTTACTCCTGGTAAGCTTTCAAGCGGGAATAGGAAACACAACTTGGATGACATTTGACAATCAAGCCTGAAAACTTATCAAGTTATCCCCTGGGTAGGGCAAAGCTTTCTGCCCTTGGGCTTGACCCAATCCAACAATGATTGCCAAGCTACTGGACTGCAGCAAATGCAAACGGTTGGCCAAAATGGCAATGAATTAGCCACAGCCACTTGGATCCCGGCGGCCAAAATCAAACCCGGCAGTGAATCTAAGCCAAGCTAAGCACTGCAAACACTGGCTGGGCTGAAGCCGTCACATGCCATCTCGTCGCAAAAACTCCAAGACTCAAGACTGAAGACATGTTGGAGCCTGTGGATCTATCTCTATCTAAAGTAATAGTTAATAGTTAATAGTAAGTAGTAAAGAAAATTATCGGAAACAATCTATGAATCTATCAAGCTTGGAATCTACTCTCATCAAGTACTGCTCGTAATGAAACTCTTGAAACTTGGCAATACTAAGCTGCCAAACTGCACTGTAGTCACTGTAGTCTCTGATGGCCAGTTCACATGCCAAACACATGGTGAAAGTGTCCAAGGCATGCTCAAAACAGAAATGTCCCCAAGCAATGTTAAGTCTAGTGACTAGTGACTAGACTAGTGAGGTTTAGAGTTTAGAGTTTAAATTTTAGAATGTTCAATTCTGCTACTAAGCCTTACTAAGTTACTAAGCTACCTAGAGTCGGACCTAGAGCTAGAGTCCTAAAGCCCTAAAGACTTAGAGTCTTAGAGTCCTCGAGTCCTGAGTCTATTGGGTCGGCCATGTACCTGTTAGAAACAGGCACTAAATAACAGTGCCAATGGATGGCAGTGCCATGCCTTCACCTGCAAGGGAGCGCCATGTCCGGTTGCTCTCAGAGTCGGGGTAAGTCAGCCTGGAGATGTTGTGGCCCTGCCACAGCATCATTTCAGCTGGAACCACTGTTCGAAATTTGCCTAAATGTACAAGGACAGAACTTGTACACATTGTGTGGTTCGTCCCGTGAGACGGAGTATAGTTCCGTCTCATGGGGTTCTGTGACACATCTACCACTGTACATGAAACGGCTGACAAAATTTCATCTTTGCTTTTTCTTTTGTCTCCACCTATCTTTTCAGCTGTCACCATATTCAAAATTGCACTGATTCGGGCATTCAAACTTATGCCCTGGATAGGTCTACGAAGTTTGTCAAACGGTCGAAAACCCAGTGGTACTTTCAAATCTTGCCTCCATGTGGCAATCTGTTGCTGCCACTTCTGTTCTCCCTCAGCTCTTCCTTGTAACTGGTCAGCAGCAAGAGCCTTGACCTGTACACAGGCAAGGCAGAAGCACCAGGACCATAAACTCACATTTTCAATCAAAATGGAAATCGCCCTTGCCGATACCTCACTATTGGCAGGCTTGTTGAATTAAATCAATGCCAAGCCCTGCATAAGCACCATCAAAACACAGAATCACTTTTGAACATACGTGTATGTGCATGTCTATGTCTATGTCTATTGTCTCAACTTGGAGTGTCTCCACACTGTGTTTTGGAAGAAACCGTTTAGTTTAGTTTAGTTACTTTATAAACCTTTATTTTGTCAGTCATCATTAGATTCGATCAGTGACTTAAGACATATGTGACATAGACATAGACATAAGACACAAGACATATGACATAAGTATCTTATTACAAATTACAAAAACAGCATTCAGTAAGCCTGACCTTTGTCGCACAGCCAGCAGAAACCTGTGGCACCAAAGCCCTTGAGATCCTGAAAGTTCTTAGTTCTGATACCATGGTCAAAATCAAACCCCAAACACTCAAACTCTTGTTGAAGCCTGCTGCCAGCCTAGAGGCTGAGTAGCAGTAGCAGTAGCAGCATTCATTTCATCACTAGCAGCAGCACCAGCACAATAGCAGTAGCAGTAGCAAGAGAAGCTACCATGGCGCAACCCGCACAAGGAGATAGAATCTTAGCTTTAGAAGTAGCAGCCTTAAGCTTACCCTAAACTCAGTTTGCAGCAAGCCCGGCAGCAGCTAGAGCAGCTAGCTGCTAGCTGGTTTGCAGCAAACCCTGCAGCTAGTACCAGAATCCAGAATCTCAATTTGTGGCAAACCTGGCAGCTAGAACCTAAAACCTTAAACCTTCAGTTTGCAGCAAGCCCCAAAACCTGGCAGCTGGCAGCTAGCATCTAGCTGCTCGAATCTAGAATCTAGAACTTTACACTTTCACTTAAACGACTTAAACTTGAACCCCAAATTCAGTTTGCAGCAAGCCACAAACCTGGGAGCCAGAACCTTAGCCGTAAACCTTAAATTCAATCCTCAGAAAATCGCAAACCTGGGAGCAATTAGGCCTTAAACTTTTAAACCCCAAATTCAGTTTGCAGCAAACTGCAAACCTGAAAGCAAGAACCCTAGCCTTAGGCCTTAAGCTGTCAACCCTGAAAGCTCAGTTTGCAGCAAACCTGGCAGCTAGAACTTTAAACCCTAAGGCAAATTTTGCTGCAAACCTGCAACCTGGCAGCTCAGCTAGGCCTAGGCAGTTAAGCCTTAAGCCCAAATTCTGCTTGCAGCAAACTTCAAACCTGGGAGCCAGAACCTTAAACCTTAAACTCAATTTGCAGCAAACCCCTGAGCTGGAACCTCAACCCCTAAACTCTTAAACTCTTAAACTCAGTTTGCAGCAAACCCATGAGCTGGAACCTTAAACCCTAATCAGCCCTAATCTCAGTGTGCACGGCACCTGGGAGCTAGCAGCTAGAACCTTAAACCCTAAACTCAATTTGCAGCAAACCTGGGAGCTATAACCTTAAACCCTAAACTCAATTTGCAGCAAACCTGGGAGCTAGACCCTTAAACCCTAAATTCAGTTTGCAGCAAACCTGGGAGCTAGGAACCTTAAACCCTAAATTCAGTTTGCAGCAAACCTGGCAGCTAGGACAAACCTTAGACCCTAAACTCAGTCTGCAGCAAATCTGGGAGCTAGAACCTTAAACCCTAAATTCAGTTTGCAGCAAACCTGGGAGCTAGGAACCTTAAACCCTAAATTCAGTTTGCAGCAAACCTGGGAGCTAGGAACCTTAAACCCTAAACTCAGTCTGCAGCAAATCTGGGAGCTAGAACCTTAAACCCTAAATTCAGTTTGCAGCAAACCTGGGAGCTAGAACCTTAAACCCTAAACTCAGCCTGCAGCAAACCTGAGAGCTAGGAACCTTAAACCCTAAATCTGGGAGCTAGAACCTTAAACCCTAAACTAAACTCTGTTTGCAGCAAACCTGGCAGCTAGAATTTTGGACCTTAAGCCTTAAGCTTTAAGCCTTAAGCCTTAAGCTCAGTTTGCAGCAACATTGCAAACCTCTTCTTCTTGGCGGCCTGACCTCCAAAATGCCAAAGCTTAAATTAGAGCAAAGAGCCCCAAACCAGACAGCATACACCGTCCTAAGACCATAACGAAATCATATCCAAAAAACGGAGACACTCCAAAACCATAAGAAAATCATATCAAAAAAACGGAGAGCCTCCAAAACCATAAGAAAATCATATCAAAATCATATCAAAAAAACGGAGAGCCTCCAAAACCATAAGAAAATCATAAGTTTTGGCATATCAAAATCATATCAAAATCATATCGAAATCATATCGAAATCATAAAAAACATATGTTTTGATTTTGTTTTATGATTTTGATATGATTTTGTTATGGTTGATTTTATGATTTTGATATGATTTTGATATGGTTTTGATATGGTTGATTTTACATGCTCTGACTTTGTCACAGGAACCTTACGTTTTCGGGTTTCATGCTCTGACTTTGTCACAGGAACCTTAAGTTTTCGGGTTTCATGCTCTGACTTTGTCACAGGAACCTGAAGTTTTCGGGTTTCATGCTCTGACTTTGTCACAGGAACCTTACTTACGTTTTCAGTTACCCTCACCACAACAATACCCCATCATCTCCGCTTCTACATGTGTGATGCTCCCATCATCTCCGTTCACATGTCAGAAACAGCATCGCAATTACAACTAAAATTTGCAAGGCCTGTCACTGTGATCATGATGGGTTTCCAATGAACTGCAGAAAACACGGTGAGCATGAAGACGCCTGAATATGGCACCTTTTGCTGGCAGTTCTGGCCAGGGCCAGAAGTAACTACAGTCAAAATGTGATTGCCTGGCTGAACAGTGTAGCAGTCACCAGTCAACAACTGTTTGTTCTCAGTGACTACCCAATGTGTGTCCAAACTCCTCTTAGTTAAGGTGCCTCGTCTGAACGCATCTGAGTCTTGAAGATCTCGTGGTCCTCTGAGAGCATGAGTGATTCCAAAGATTTAGGTGCCTCTTGCTTCTGCAAATTTGTGATCTCCTGGGCAAGAACAAGTCACAGAGCCACACAAAACTGGGAAAATGAACTCAAATCTGACAGGTTTCTCAAACAGTTGTCTATTTGACTGTCCTGGCAAACAACCTCTAGTCTCTAGTCTTCCACCAGACCTGACCTAACAGTTCTGTATCTTAACTGTGAAGCAAACAAACGTTTCCACAAGTCAGCAGGAACAGTTCAATATTTGTTTCACTGCATGACAGGTTAGCCGTGAAATGTTTTGCTAGTTACTGCCAGTTTGGTGGTTAGCATATGTGTTTCTTTGTTTGTTTGTTTGTTGGTTTGTTTGTTTGTTTGTTTGTTTGTTGGAATTACCAGTAGTGACGCACAAGGCTGTGGTGGAAGTTTCAATAAGTACGAAACCTAAAGGACTGTAGGAGAGGACTACCTTTCTATCTGAATCTAGCCGAACCCACCAGAACCTACTCACCCATCCATCCATCATTCCACCTATCCATCTATATCTATCCATCCAATTTTCTATCTATCTTAATGTAATGTACCTATCTAAATCTAAATCTATGCATCTACCTAACTACCTATTTATCAATCCATCATTCCGTCTGTCCATCCATGTTTCCGTCCATCCATCTATCTATCTATCCATCCATCTAATCTGCTATCTTCATCTATCTATCTGAATCTATCTGAATCTATCTGAATCTATCTGAATCTATCTATCTATCTTTCTATCTATCTATCTATCTATCTATCTATCTATCTGAATCTATCTATCTGAATCTATCTATCCGAATCTATCTATCTGAATCTATCTATCTGAATCTATCTAGCTGAATCTATCTATCTGAATCTATCTGTCTGAATCTATCTGTCTGAATCTATCTATCTGAATCTATCTACCTGAGTCTATCTATCTGAATCTATCTATCTGAATCTATCTATCTGAATCTATCTATCTGAATCTATCTATCTTTCTTTCTATCTATCTTTCTTTCTATCTATCTGAATCTATCTGAATCTATCTGAATCTATCTGAATCTATCTGAATCTATCTGAATCTATCTGAATCTATCTGAATCTATCTATCTGAATCTATCTATCTGAATCTATCTGTCTGAATCTATCTGTCTGAATCTATCTGTCTGAATCTATCTGTCTGAATCTATCTGTCTGAATCTATCTGTCTGAATCTATCTGAATCTATCTATCTATCGATCTATCTATCGATCTATCTATCTATCTATCTGAATCTATCTATCTGAATCTATCTATCTATCTATCTATCTATCTGAATCTATCTATCTGAATCTATCTATCTATATCTATCTATCTATCTATCTATCTATCTAATCCTATCTATCTATCTAATCTATCTATCTAATCTATCTATCTATCTATCTATCTATCTATCTATCTATCTATCTATCTATCTAATCTATCTATCTATCTATCTATCTATCTGAATCTATCTGAATCTATCTGAATCTATCTGAATCTATCTGAATCTATCTGAATCTATCTGAATCTATCTGAATCTATCTATCTATCGATCTATCGATCTATCTATCTATCTTTCTATCTATCTATCTATCTATCATGCTATCAATCTATTCATTCTGTCTGTCTGTCTATCTATCTATCAGTCTGTCTTTGTTCCTTTCTGTCTGTCTGTGTTTCTATTGATATGTATTTCGTCCGATCTTTCTGTTTTTCTCTTTGTATTTCAATCTAATCAATCTAATCTATCAATTGGTCTAGTCTAGTCTATCTGTCTGTCTGCCTGCATGTCTATAGATTTTTTCTGTCTGTCTATGAGTCTATCTATCTATCCGTATCTGATTTATCTATCTATCTGAATCTATCTGATCTATCTATCTATTTATCTATCTGTCTGTCGGTCTGTCTATCTATCTATCTATCGAATCTATCATCTATCTGTCTTTCTGAGTTGCCAAGTTAGCAAAATTAAAGCAAAAAAAAGTAAATGAAGGTAAGACCCACAGGTACATACCAACAGCTACCAACATAAACCCAAGGAAGGCCCAACGTGGCAAGCCATGACCCAAAAACGGTGTGTTCATGTGGGCCTTTAGTGACTAAACTTTAGTGCCAAAGGGCCCAAGATGAACACACCGTTCTTGGCCCAACATAGGCTCAACATAGGCTCAACATGCCATTCTGCACCGGCCCTGAGGCACTAACTGTCACTAACTAGATTCTGTGTTCAACTGGGATGCATCTGGATAATGATTATTGATTATTGATTATTAGAAAGCTGCTAGCTGCTAGCTAGAACAAGGATGACCAGTGACCAGTGACCAGTGAGCGTTTTGCTGGGTTGCGCTTCATATCGCCTGGATGAAGCACAACCCTGTGAATCCTAAAAACGGCATGTTCTTTTAGGGCCGGTATACCGGGTTACCAGGCCTAAAAAGAACACACCGTTCTTGGCGGAACATGGGCTCAACATGGCTCCACCATGGCCCCAATATTTAAAAAAACAATGTCACTATTTATTACTATTTGCAAATATTGTGCTCGCTATGTCACAAAATAATTGGTTTATCCTGCCCCAGAACCAACCCGGCAGGGAACTCATAAATTTATTTATCTAACTAACTGAACTATTACTATTATTACTATAATCATAGTCATAGTCATAGTCATAATCTATCTATCTATCTATCTATCTATCTGTCTATCTATCTATCTATCTATCTGAATCTATCTATCTACCTATCTATCTATCTATCTGATCTACCTTTTCCATCTGTCTGTTCTAAAGTTCCAGTCTAAAGTCTAGTCTAGAGCCTAGGCCTAGGCCTAGAGTGATCTAGAATCTAGAATCTAGAATCTAGAGTCGTGATATGACTATGACTATGACTATGACTGACTAGTGACTATAGTGACTCGTGACTTGACTAATGACTAGTGACTATGACTTGACTAAACTAAGACTCAAAACTCTAAAACTTGCGCCTGGTCATACAAAGCGCTGCACCTGTCAAGCAAAAAAACATCTTCCCAAAACTGAAGATCTGATGCTCCAAAATGCAACCCCTCTGAGGAAATCAGTGCCTGGGCCACCTGGGCGTCCTAACAGTTCGAACAGATTCTAACAGAACATCTCTGATGAGCGTGTCTCTTGTACTTGCAACATGTGTCTTCAGATGTCCCACATATGCCTTCTTTTTGAAACTGAGACAAAACCCTCACATTGTGCTCACATTTTGGGAAGGTGCAGAATCCCTTGCCGCTGCCACTCCGAAACCTTCAGTTCTTAACATGTGCTTCACACCCTTATCCACATCTCAACTGCCAAAAACGCTTTGGACCTGTCAGCTTTTAACTTCAAAATGTGCTTCGGGCCAGGACACTCACTATGTCACTATGCACTTTTCACGTTTTCAATTCAATATCTCAACTTCCAAAAGTGCTCCAACACTGCTCTGACCATGAAGTCTTTCTTTTGAACTTTTGCGCAGTTTGACTTCAAATTTTGCTCGGCACCTCAACAATGTGCAAGTTTTCATCTCGTATGTCCCCAGTTGGATCTGCACCTGCCGCTTTAGTAAGCCGCTTTAGCAACCCTAGCCTGTTTACTTGACTTAGACTTAGGCTTGGGTACTTCTAGATTCTAGATTCTAGAGCCTCCAGAGCCACAAATCATTGGAAAAAACACAGTGTTTCCCAACTTTCCTACCTTTTCGCACATCTGCATCTTCTTTCTCCTGACTCTTTTTCTTCTCTGATCTTCTCTCTACTCTACTCAACTCTTCTCTTCTCTCTGACTCTTCCCATCTCTGCTTTTCATATGTCCATATTGTTGGAAGTTTGACTTCATTTGATACAGTCTGTTGAGTCTGTTGAGTGTTGTCAGTGGCTACTTTCTGCTCTGCTAGTCACTGGTGCTAGTCACGCGAATCAAGTCAGCAGCTCAGTTTGCAACGTCCCAGATACAAACATGCCCAGGCCTTGTTACAAGTTTTCCAAAACAGAAGAATACCACAAGCAAACATTACACTGATCATTCCTTATCATCATTCCAATATATCCTTTGCAAGCCAAGTTGGTCCAATCAAACCACTGGCAGCAAATCAAGGACCTAGGACTAGTGACTAGTGACTATGACTAAGACCTAGGACCTAGGACCTAAGACCTAAGCCGCCTAGCCGACCTAGCCGTTCCTAGCCTAGCCATCGCTGGTTGATACTGATAAACCCAGGATGACAGGATCAAATGCAGGAGCTGCATCAAACCAAGTAACGGTCACAAGGCGCACGAAGGATTTGACATCGTCTTTTGTGAAAGTGTCCTTTCTGAAGAACACCATATACAGCCTGGCAAAAACTCTGAGCAGAAGGTCCCCAAATAAATGGCAAGCTGTGACTGAGGCAATGCACGTGTTGCAACACAGGTTTCCCAAACCTAAGGGGCTGGCCACCAGACTACATCCCGTACTAGTTTCTATTTATATGCAAGGCAGTGTATGTACAAAATAATAAATGTATATTATATATATTATATAAATACATAAAATATTACATTATCACTATACTACTATACACAAAAAAGGATAGCAAATCTGACTATACTACTACTAATTACTAATAATCAATCACAATCAATCATTAAAAAAAGTTAACAGTTAACCATTATCATTAATGATTGATTAAGATTAGTAAGTTAATTAATATCTGCAACCATTTTGTGCAAAGGCTCTGACATTCTGTCTTAGACTCAGACTCTAAGCAAGTGAGCTACAGCTGGTGTCTCAAGTCAGTGTCAAGATGGAATGTGTGTCTTGAGCAGCTAGCTAGCTAGCAGGCAGCTAGCAGCTAGCAGCTAGCTAGGGCCAGGGCTCCAGTCAGTTGCAACAGGTACCAGCGGCACCAGCTGCTGCTAAATGTCAGTGAGTGGGTGAAAATACCAAGGACCAAAAACAAATGCCATAGCCGCAGCCATAGCTGCCATGCCATAGCCAAAGTCATAGCCGCATAGCCAAAGCAGAGCGGCCAGCTGGCATCAATGCAGAGACCCCCACCCTGAGGTCAGATTGCAAAACGTCGGTCATCAAGATCTCAGCCATGAGTGCTGCAGGCAAAACTGGCAAAACAACATCTGATAAAGTGTTCTGCTGTCCAAGCCCAATGTGCACCACAGCAGAAATCTATACTACAGAATATAGAACCTACCTACAGAATCTGGACCCGGACCTCCATTCTTACCTAAGTCCAAGTCTTGCCAGGCAAGACAAAAGTCGATGTGGGCAAGCGCCACAGGTGCATACACCTGCCAGGCAAACCAAAGTTTGAAGAGAGCAAGTGCCACGCCTGCCATGCAAAGTGTGACAAAGTGGTGTGTGAAAGATGGTGTGACAAAGTTGTGTGTGAGAGATTGTCATGCATGGCAAAGTTGGGTGTGGCAAAGTTGTTGTGTGACAAAGGTGTTGTGTGAAAGATTGTATGTGTGAAAGATTGTATGTGACAAAGTTGTGCGGGAAAGATTTGATTAGATTAGTGATTAGTGATTAGTGATTATGATTAATGATTAGTGACTAGTGAATTAGGTATTAGGAAAGATTGTATGTGACAAAGTTGTGTGTGAAAGATTGTGTATGACAATGACACAGACATACATACAGTGTATGACAAAGTTGTGTGTGAAAGGTTGAAGACTGTGTGTGACAAAGTTGTGTGTGAAAGACTGTGTCATGTTGACAAGGATGCAGAGGCGAAGGAGGAGGAGCCGATGGCAGGATACAGAACCAAAACCAAGAACCCCACACAAAGATGTGTGGAACAATGTGCTGAAAATGTCCAGTCCATTGTTCCATTTTGCTTACCTCTTAGTGGTGTAGGCCAGACCAAGCAATTTTTCATGTGAACCTCGGAAGCTTGACCCATCACTGGCAGAGAAGAGCTTTGAAAACAGTGTCTGAGTATAATTTTAATAGTATAATATAGTTCAACCCAACAAGCTCCGGTTGAATTTGGCGGTGCAAAAAGCACTTGACTCTGCACCATTCCCAAAGACTTGGGACTGTTAGTGAGTGAGTTAGTTAGGGACGATTAGTTTAGTGACCAGTGACTAGTGAGTGGGTACCGCTCAGCAATTTTCCCATCAGCTTGCCGCCTCCACAACAAACAAAAGAAAAATGCCAACAAAGAAACCCACAGCACATGATGGGGAAACATTGTTGTTGACTCATGATATTGCTTGCAAGCTTTTGGCTTTTGGCAGCAGTAGCGGTAACCGCCCAACATCAGTAGCAAACTAACATGGCAATAATTATTGACTGATGCTTCAAAAAGGCACCAGCAAGCCTGGGCCTAGGCCTTTTGCTCAGGCCAGCCGAAATGGAAAATTGGTAGCCGCTCCTGAAATCTTTTCCCACCACTGCGACACACATTTGAAACCAGAGAGAGCAAACTGGTCCTGGACCAGTATTGACACCAGTTTGGGCAGCCTTGATGCCCAGAATCACAAACAATACCGCCTTACTGATTACTGTACAGCTAGATGCTATTGAGTTGTTATCATGTATTAAATAATAAATATAACAACTCAAAAATGATAACAGTAAAAAATAAATATAGAAATAATAATATTATATAGATAGTAATAATAATAAATTATATATAAAAAAATGTTATTACTATATTTATGTCATTATGTCATTATGTATATTTAAATTTAAATAATAAATAATATTTATATATATATCGCACGGGTTGTTAGAACTGGTGGCCAACCCCATTGGCTGAACAAGGACCAACACATGAACAAATCTAGAATGGAACCTTGTCTCTGATGTGCCATAGAATCCATGGGTTTAAGGGCCTAAAACAGGCATCCCCTTGTTTGTGCAATGGAAAATCTGCTTTGCATCTTGGAAGCGCCACAACAAGGCTGCAGCCACGTCAATCAGATTCAGATCAAAAAAATGCCCAAGGTGAGCCATCAGATGTATAGTGTATAGTATAACTGGTAAGTGGTACTGGTAACCTGTCTTCCATTGAACAGCTGATTAATTATTAATGATTGCAACTGAAGATGTCTTGGTGCACTTTTGGTCCTTTTTGGAGCAAGCAAACATGGCAATGTAATGTAGCAGCGTGGCTTCCGGCTTAGCGGTGTAGCAGCAGGTAGCAGCCACACAAAGCTTCCATGCCCAGAGATGACTGCAGCAATGAGAATGCCTGACCAGTCACATGCCTGGCACCTGAACAGGCCACCGGCCAGATATCACAAATCAACTGTCAAGGAATCACGTCCGGCTCATCACATTCACCTTGCTCCCTCTGCCTTTCATGGCAGCCAAACTCTTTGGCATTGGGCAATGAGTTGTAAAATTCTCTGGCAGCTTTCCTGTCAGCACGGCTGTGAGTCGCAGCCCTTCCCTGTTCATGGCAATCTGGGTCCTGAAGCCATGCAACAAGGAGCCCGATGGGACGCCCTTGTCCTGGGCGAGCAGAATTGGCAACCGTAGTTCTTGATCTCCTGCAGTCTTGTTCGATGTGCTTGCTGCAGTGTGCCACTATGTTGTTGGTTTTGCGATAGAACCGCTGCTCACCCCATGTGCCAACTTGCAACACATCTGGGAACATGTCCCTTGGAAGCCTTGCAGGTGCTGAGGACGAATCACCCGTCTCAGGCTCAACAACAGCACCTGAGGCAGCTGCATCACCATCACTGCTGCTCCTTGCAACCTGATTGCCTGAAGCCTGTGCAGGCTGGTTGTCAGCGCCGCTGTCACGAGAAGAGTTTGAAGCGGTGTCCGAATCTGAGTCCGAAGAGGAAGAAGAAGACATGGATTGGCTAAAATTTTCGTCCAAATCAAAAGCATCCTCATCTTGATCTCCAGAGCCAGCTGAATCATCTGACTCATGCTCAGACATAGTTTCCTCCTCAAAGGGATCCTCCAGCTCAAGCTCTTTGCCTCCACTTTCACCTTCACCGCCCATGTCAGCATCACACTCAGATGCTCTGGGGCTGCCACCTGCAAGTGGCTGCTCAGGCCTTCCAGGTCGAGTTTTTTTGGTTTTGGGCACCAAAAATCTTTCAATTCTTTCCTTGGGAGCTTCCCTTTTTCTGAGATTCCTGCCATCTCTCCTGGCTTGCTCCTCTTTCAGGGCGTCACGGTCTTGTGCCTCAGCCTTGCTCCCCTTCCACACCACAAGTGGGGGAATGCCAGTGAAGGGCTTGGCCAAGAGTTTGTCAGGTATCATCTTCACCTGGTTCAAGCTCAGCTTCCTTGACTGCAAAATCCAAAATCGAGCCTGGTATGAGCAGCCAAAGCTAGCGTGCTGCTGCAAGAATTCAAAGCATCTGAAACACTCCACTGGGTTTTGGAGTGCCAGCTCAACCTGCTCGGAATCATCTAAGCCATCATTTCTTGATGAAATCCGTGCCATTTTCAGTCCTGTCCACTGCATGCTCTTGAAGTTGCAGTACCCAAGATGAAGCCACAGCGATTGAGGTCGCGCTTTGTGACGTTGAAAAGTGGATTGCCTTTGGCCTTCAGGGCACTTTGGTTGGGGCATCTCTGCCAGTACTCCAACCCATGCTGAAAAAGTCTGATCTGAAAGTGGTGGGACTTCCCCTGGTTCTGGTTCCAAGTCCAAACCCTGGGGCCTGAGCTCAAGCACAAGGAACCCTCTGGACATGGCTTTGCGGGCCTTTGTCTGCACCTTTTTAGGTTTGTTTTTTTTCTCCTCTCCTTGAAGTTGTGCAACTTTCTTCTCTCTTTTCGCAAACAGATATGGCCGCAGCAGTTTGACCATTTTTGTATGTAAGAAGAATGCATCTGCTCCATCCTTGACATTGCCACAAACACAAAACAGATTCTTTCTGCAAATTGTCTCCCTTGGCATCTGGCTCTCCTTGATCTTCTCTGAATCTTTTAGCATTTGCAAAGAGTGTTGCGCACTCCAAAGGTCACGCAAACGGCCGTGCAGCCCAAATCCATATCCTTTCCGCTCTTGCCCAGTAGGTTTCAGAAATTCCTGGGCTTGTGAAAGGGACAACAAAGGACAAAGGCAACATAGTTTGATGTACCCACAGCTTTGCCCAGCTACACTGCTACAATGTCAAAACCTCACAATGCAAGTGCCATAGACGTGACTAAATTGACTTGACTTATTAGTTCCTAGTTAGTTAGTTATTTAGGTAGTTAGTTAGTTAGTTAGTTGGTTGGTTGGTTAGTTAGTTAGTTAGTTAGTTAGTTAGTTTACATACAATGTAAATGTACTGCAATAACCCCCTGTTGATGTTGCTGCTGTTGCCAAGGTTGGAAATGTGGAACTGCAAGCAATCAGGCAACCCGGTTTGGGGTTGG